AATTGTCACAGCTGAACTGATGTTTTATTTAATGTTGAGAAACCATTTTTTCATACCTTGTTAAGCAAGGTTGGAGTTAAATATGTTGTTTGTGGTAATGCTTTATATTGATGGCTAAATTTTGTTAGTCGCGTATCTGACCCACTTTATTATTTTAAGATTTTAAGTGAATAATGTCTGAAAATAGTCTCGTAAATAAATATTTTTTGCTAAAATAGTCATTCGGGACTCGCCACGTTGGCCCGTCGTTGTTGACGTGGCGCTGATGCGACTGATATGTCATTGTCACGTAGATGCCACGTCAGCTATACATGAAACTTTTTTTTTTTTTTTTACAAAATGTATTGGTAAACTATTTTTTAGTTTTGTATATAACCCCTTTATCATTTTTAGGACATTTAAGTGGACTCTATTTCAAAATAGTCCTGTAAATAAAAAAATTTTCGCTAAAATAGTCTTCCGACATGACATCTACGTGGCGATGACATGTCTGCCACGTCAGCTCCACGTCAGCAACGGCTGCCAGTGTGTCCGGTACTGGAAGATCATTTTAGCGAAAAATTTGTACTTACGGAACTATTTTCAGACATGGTTCACTTAAAGTTCTAAAATGATAAAAGGAGGTCAGATAGGAGACTAAAAAAATAATTTACACTTATATTGATTGTATGCATATGTCGATTGTTATATTCTGGTTGCACAAAACAAGATTGAACTTATTGAATACAAAATAAAACACTACAAATGGTGAAGAAAACACTACAAACTTCATAACTACTACCATGTTGAACATTGAACAAAACACTACAAACTTTATCCACAAGATTGAATCAGATAGTGCTGATTGAGCATACTGTTGAAACGATAAATGCATAATTCATGATGGAATATCATACCGCGATCGAGCATATACTAAAGCAATACATTCACAATGTAACAACGTACTTCACCGCCCTACAATCCAACATATACTTTCAACATCAATGCACATAAAAGCATTGTTATAAAGCCAACGGCTACAATAATACTTCCTCCATCTCATATTTATATATCCATTTACTTTTTGTACGGAATTTTAGAAATATTAGTATTATATTGGGATAAAATAAAAATAAAGGGAAAAAGACTAAATTAATTCTATTAGTATTGTATGATATAAATGTAAATAACATTTGTGTAATATATTGTAAATTGGAAGGGTATTTGTAACGTTAGATTGACAGTACAATTACTATAAAAAAAAATAGAATGTATACTTTGTTATGAGATGGACCAAAATAAAAAAATTGATAGATTGTTAAGGGATGGAAAAAGTATTCTTGAACATCATTTTCTTTTGATGCTTCAATTTCAATATTTATTTATTCTTTTATTTACTTTCTTCAACAACCTGAGGATGACTGCTTTGGCTATTGCATGTATTGGAGAATTTTATTGAAGAAAAATATCTTCAATCGGCTTCTACACCTCTCTTAAAATAAAGTGAAACATCCACAATCAACTTAATTGAATTACAATGTAATAGTAACAATTAACAAAAAAAAAAAAAAATTACAACGGTTAGCGCTTACTTGAAATTTGACATAAAAATTAAACATCTTACTAGAATTTTCATTCATCCATGAAGTTCTAATAACACTCCTTCATCCATATAGACATTGAATAAACTCAATCGTTATTGATGAAATTGATATTCAGATGAAAAAATGACATTCTCATTTAACATCTCATAATAATAATAATAATAATAATAATAATAATAATAAAAATAATAAATAAAAATAAATCACTCCCTTCAATATATGGAGACTTGCATCATATAAGGAAAATATACGAGCATGGTAATCATGAGCTACTTATCGAGCTCATATGGTATGATTCTTGGTGCATAATAGTTACCCTTGGTTTGCGATTAAGTTGGACGTAATCGCAAATAAGATATTTGCTATTGGGTTCAATTGGACCAAAATAAAAATATCCAATTTAACCAAAAAAATTTTTTTAAAAAAATAGATATATTATGTAACTGTTCATTTATTATATCATTTCTATTGAATTTTTTTTTTTTCAAAAAATCCTAATTTTAATGTAATTATCTCATAAAAATTGCGGATTTTAATATATATATATATCCACAATTATCAACCGATGGATAAATGAACATACATGTTGCTATATGGGCCAAGATAAGGGATATGTAAACGATATCCGGCTATTATTTGACATTGAGATTAAATATAAAATAACTTTTATTTGAACAACCAAATACACATGGGCCAAAAAGTATTACAATGGAAAATCAATTGAACTTATTATGTGATATGAAAATAAATTAAATTAATACGCAGATATTTGATATTCAAATCGAAGCGAACAAATTCTTGAAATCGCAAATCGTATCCAAACAAAAAAGAATAAGTTAAAATATTTGTAATATTTGCAAATAGGTCGACTCGAGCTGAAGTTAAGAAAAAATATATTAAAAATAATTAAAATTATAATTAAATAAAAAATATTTGCAAATATTTTAAATGTCCAAACCAAAACCATAACGAAACCAAATCGAATATAATTATTGATATAAATTTTAAAATATAATAATATAAATATACTCGGTTCAGTTAACCGAACAAAAAATATCAAAAATCAAAATCGAATCGAATCGAACATATATCAAATATGCAGTATCTGTATTCGAACCAAATTTACTCGATTAATCAAAAATTCAGTTCGGTTCAACAGTTCGACGATTTTGCCGACCCTACATTTATTGTCTTCCTTTATAATAAAGCTAAGTATTTGCTAATAACAGCCTATCTATGGTTGTGGACTAACCCCACCTTCATGCTATTTTCAACTGGGTTTAGGGTAATTATAATTGCAGCATACAAAAAGTTGTAGCTTTTATTGCAAAAGGTTGCATCTTTATTGATTCTTTTATTTTTATTTTTTATATATATATAACCTCATAATTTCTGTTACATGATCAAAAAAAATGTGCTGAAATTATAATAAAAAATTTTACGATTTAAATGTAGATAGATTCGTAGAATTTCGTTAGTGATTTCTTTTTAAAAAAATATTAATTTTATAGATTTCCGTAACAATAAGTTATTATTGCAATAATAAAAACACAAACTAATGACTTTATAGTTATTATTTACCTATTATACCAACTTAGTATCTTCTTTAAAAAGTACTTCCTTCGTCCCGAAACTAAGTATCCATTTGCTTTTTACACATAGTTTTAGAAATATTAGTATTATATTGGGATATATTATGAATAAAGTAGAAATGACTAAAATAATCTTATTAGCATGTGTGATGTAAAGGTAATGACATTTGTGTAATATATTGTAAGTTGTAAGGGTATTTGTAATGTTAGGTAGATAATACAGTTACTAAAAAAGGAAATGGATACTTTGTTATGGGACGGACTAAAATAGAAAAATGGATACTTTGTTATGGGACGGGGGAGTATTTATTTTTGTTTTGTTTTATATTTTAACTATGTAAATATTATTGGTCATAAATTTATTTATTAACAATACATACATATTTAATTAATATATATTACAGCGGCAAATCTTGTGTGTTGATTCGGCCAAATCAGCATGATATATACTTATTTAATTGGAGTATATGTTAAATGAGTGATCAGCATATGTTTATGTATATCTCAGCATATGTTGTATTATAAATACGATGAGTTATAATATAATATATATTGTATTATAAATACGTTGAAATATGTATAAATGCATGTTGACCATCCCTACAGCATATGCCGACTTGAGCAGCACCTGATCCATGCACATATATTACTCATGAATTTTTAATAAAAAGAAATTATTGATTTTATTTAACATATTTTTTTTTTTAATATTGCAAACAACTTCTTGAATTTTATCTGTTGTCTATCAATTATATTTTTAAATAGCAAGTCAAATGGTAATGAAAAATTTGTGGATGTTTAGTTATTTATGCTGTAATATATTTTAAGGCATGGATATTATACAGTAGTAATATTTATAATAATTTAAAATATTGCAAGTATTTTTATTATTTGTAAAATGATTACAGAAAAAATCCGCGACATGAATATTTTTGTTACTTTAGTTGTTTATAGTCAAACAAAAGTTACTTGTAATTTTTATTTTATTTAATATTACATATAGAACAATTATAGCAAAAAAAAATTAACATAATTTTATCACAAAATTGTCATCAGTAACTTTTAATTGTCGCGAATTTCCTCAACTATCAACATTAACATGAGAAATAATTTTTAAAATATTAAATAATAATGTATTATAACCATTACATATATATATATATATATACATATATAAGATCCAGCTAATAAATTAACTAGTTGATGCAGCTAGGAATAGCAATTGGGTCGGCTTTCATTGCGGACTCGTCCAAGGTGTTAATAGGGTAGGTTGGGTTCATATTTTAAATTTAATAATTATAAAAAAAATAATAATACTATTATATATGTATGGTTATTTATTTTATAAAAGTTTTTAATTTTATATTTCTACAGTGTTGAGTGATTTTTGTTCTTCAATTTTTTCAAAGGTATTGTATTTTCCCGTTCACAATTTTTCCCACCGCTCAGTCGCTTTCTATTTTCACTATTAGGGTGTGTTTGTTTGAAAGATTTTACAAAAATTTACTAATCATTCAAAATAGGATGTGTTTGTTTGAGGGATTTTACTAAAAATTCATTATACATCCAAAAAATTTTCCCCAAAAATATCACATCAAACACTTATTTTTTATTTTTTATATTATTCTACAAATCAATTTTATATTCAAAACATAACATCAATACCTATTTATATCACATCATACAATTATTTTAATTCAAATTTTTTACTATTCAAATCTCACTCAAAATCCAAACTCTCAAACAAACACTCGCAAATCAATCCCAAACCCTGCTTTTCTATTTATAGTGCAACAAATGCAAGATCAGTAGTAACAAAAAAAAAATGACTTCTGATGAAAGCTTTTCACGGATGCAAAAATATTTGAATGTAGAAGACACACTAAGCCAAGAATTCAAGACCTTCCTCTCTACTCTCCCCAAAATAAAGGGGTCCTTTGGACCCTATGGATATCTCTACGAGGGTTTTTGGTATTTTCCGATGATTCTTCGTGGTATTGTTGCCTTTCGACGCCACTTCCATCCTCAATCTTCGGACATTTTCCTCATAACTTATCCGAAATCGGGCACCACTTGGTTGAAATCACTCGTCTTTACTATAATCAATCGCCACCGATTCCCAATCGAGGCGAATCATCCTTTGAACACCACCAATGCACACCAACTCATACCATTTTTGGAAACACATATCTACCACAAAGAAGAAAACCCTAATTTAGATCACTTACCCTTCCCTAGGGTTTTCTCCACTCACATTCCTTGGACTACTTTACCAGAGTCAATTAGAAATAGTTCGACCTGTAAAATTGTGTATTTGTGTAGAAATCCCAAGGACATAATCGTCTCCCTGTGGCACTTTCAGAACAAGTTGATGCACGACGAAACTAAGGAAATGGCGACGAATTCGATCTTGGAAACTTTTGAAAATTTCTGCCAAGGAGTAAATGATTACGGACCATTTTGGCGACATATGCTTGATTACTGGAAGCAAAGTAAGGAGAATCCTGATAAGATTTACTTCCTGAAATACGAGGATATGAAAGAGCAACCTAGTATGCATTTGCGACGGCTGGCAAAGTTTCTAGATTGTCCGTTCTCATCTGATGAAGAGGAATCTGGCCTGTTAGAAGATATTATGAAGCTTTGCAGCTTCGAGAATTTGAGCAACCTTGAAATCAACAAGAATGGAGTTTTATCGTATTCAGGCATGCAAAGTAGTGTATTCTTTCGTCAGGGCAAAACTGGAGATTGGAAGAATCATCTATCTGATGAGATGGTTCAAAAGCTGATCAATGTAATATGTGAAGACAAGCTTAGTGGCTTGGGGTTCAACTAATATCCCCAAGTGCCATGCATGAATTTAATAAAGTATATATATATATATATTAATATAGTAATTTATGTTAATATTAATTTATAATTATCTGTATTATATAGTAATTAATTTTATTAATATATTTTTAATTATTTATTAATCGTATTTTTCATAAATTCTTATATTTGACATAATACCACGGACCAAGTATTTATACTTTGAACCAAAATCACAAAATCGAACACGACACTAAATCAGTTTCAGATTATTTCATGTCACTCTACAAGGAGCTCTTGGGACCCCAACCCATTTGTCGGATCGGTGGGTGCTGTGCTCCCAAGAAACACTCAAACTGAATGCGACGTCGTTTCGAAACAATCACTCTCCATCAATCATCCATTTATATGTCTATTTGAATATTCAAAGCTCTCAAGAGTTTTTATTTTATTCTTCCTGAATATAACGGATGACCCATTGCTCACGTACGCAGTTACGTAACAAACTTTAATTTAATTCCAATTAAATATTATTTTGATATAATATTTTATAAAAAAAATAATAATATATTTTTATTTAAAATTATGCAAAATGAATAGTAGTATTTTATAATTTAATCTAAACCAAACACCCCCTTGGATTCTAAGTCATTTTAAATTTATCGACTAAATTGGATAAAAGTGAATAAAAAATTCATAAGATAGTTGAAATTTTATTTTATTTTAAATACATCCTACAAACAGTCATTTCATTTCCTAAGTGGGTTTTTTTTTTTTTGTGATATTGACAAATTTGTGTAGCTTAATTAAATATTATTAAAGTATATTTTTTTAATACTTCATATAAATATGATACAAAAAATCTGAAACAGTATATATAAAATATTTACAAATTTCGATTAATTAAACAAAAAAAAATATGATAATTTTTAAATTTGATAGATTTAAAATATATATATATATATATATATATCTTAAATCATCTCTCAAATCTAAAAATTCTGTCTGAACGAACACAAGGAAAAAGGAAAACGGACAAATAAAAATAAAAATAAAAATAATTAAAAGGACAAAGCAAGCCGCCGAATTGATGATGTCATTATAGTGGGACGCAGGGATTGGTGGATTTAGCTGTGGGCTGACTCTTGGGCTTCTGAAGAGTCGACAATATTAAAAATAAAAATAAAAATAAAACAAAAGGTAAAGGCCAGTAAAAGGTTGGGCCCACAAATATCTTCGATCAACCTTTTCATACAACTATTTTCTTTCTAATATCTATCTTCTTTTCAGTAATTTTTTGTTTTATTTGTTTACTCTCAGAGTTCTACCATAGTTTATGTGTTTGTTTACTCAATTAAAAAAAATTTCATAACATAATCCTCAATATATATAATTTTTATAATTTTTTTTTTCAATAAAAATCAATCATTTAATATAAAAATTATTTTTTCAATTCTAATACGCAATCTCATACCTTATATAAAAAAAATATATCTCAAACCAAAAGATCGAACAAACAAATTCTATATACTTTTTTATTTTAGTGTGTTTCATAATATAAGATTGATATATTTTTTATTTTTAGTAACTATCATATTCTCTAGGAAGAATGTCATTGTAGCTAAGAATTTAATAATGAGTGCGGGGCATAGCAGACGATCAAGTGAACTCCAAAATTTTTTCATAAAAATCAGTCCGAAATTCACCATCTCCACTTGACTGTTGATGCAGTATAATAACTTTCCCATCTCAGATCCCAGAGACGATAAATTTTTTGTTGGAAAAAATACTAAAAACATATAATCGAAATAAACAATAATACTTTACAAAGAGAAAAACAAGATTGAAGACAAAGCTTTTCCGGTTGATATATAATACGAGCAACTCCACGCTCAGACAAGTTTAAGTAGTGTTCCAGTTCAAGGTTAATGCAGAAACCTCAAGGATAAGGAATAATCTCAGAAGACATGTTGACCAATTTACAGCGGATATATACCTTGTGGAACCACTCAAACTAAGTATTGAACATTTCTTTGGTGAGATTCGCATAACATTTTTTAGTGAGATTTCGACAGTATCGACAAAAGATGGATGACCAGTGATAAAGATGTTTTCTTCAAAAAAATTGAAAACCCCAATTCTCTACAGCCAGTGTTGTCAAATCTTGCTTTGGAGATAAAATCTCGTTCTCTAGAAAATCATCAAAAAATTCTATAGTATCTTAAGAGTAAAACTTACTTTCTCCGTCCGCCAAATTTATTCCCACTTTCATTTTTAGTCCGTCCACTAAATTTATTCCATTACTAATTTTGGCAAAGTCAACAAATCAACATTTAATTATTACCATCTATTCAATATTTATTTAAAAAAATATCAATAACATTATTATATTCTCTCTCTCTCTTCATGTACTTTATTTTTAAATTAAATTTTAAAAAAATATCCCCAACTACCTATTACTTTTGCAATAAAATATTTATTTTTTTAATCCCCGTGTCGAGCCCAAATGAACTCATTTTAATGGACGGAGGGAGTACTATTTAATGCATTATAGGGTAAAGAGCAGGAAGGTGAGATGTCCTCAGTTACATTCTTTTTTCTTTTGCATTAAGTATGAGAATGAATACTCCTAAGAGAGAAGGCAATAGTAGTTTATCATCTTCATTTGTTTGCCTCCTTTCGATTGGTTCATTAGTCGATTGAGCTCCAATGCTTGCACTATCACCAAGTTGTTCAATTTTTTGTGCTTCCTTTTGATTATTCAGATTCATCATTTCTTCAGTGGCTTTAGCTGTCTTTCCTATATATTGAACATTTTAGGATTGATGTTTTGTTTTATCTTTAGCACGGACATCGTCCTCAATTGCAACATCAGAATCATTTCTCCCATGTTCATCGTTTGTTGGTTTGCCGTCCTCCACTAGCACTGGTTGGTTCATGTCAAGAATCACGTGGGAGGGCTTTGATTTGCCATTTTTAGTTGGGTCACCAGAACAAGAGCGACATCAATCTCTACACTTGTTAAGACCCGAACACGGAAATTCCCTACACGCTTAGGATGCCCAACAACCTTTCTAGTATTTGAGGATCTTCCAGTGCAAATAGTAACCATATTGATGGAGAATACTTTCAACTCTGATGCACTTTAAGAGAAAAGAACACAATATATATAGAGACCAAACAAGCAAATGCTAATTTCAAACCTCCGTTTCTTCTCCCAAGACCAATCAATTTTGCATAAAACAATGTATATAACTGCGGAGATCTCAGAAGATACTTCAGCTTTTAAGATTAACCATTATAACTAATATTCATATAGAGTTGTCTGTCCGTCAATCAAAATATCCTTATTTGCACTCCAAATTTGCACAAATGCCCTTGATATTATATAAATGTAGATTTTAACATAAATGGGATGATTAAGATTATTACAAAGCTTTATCAAAAATAGTTCAAATGTGATAAACCCAGATTATTCCAATCTTCCATCCATCCCAAACCAAATCAACAACACATCGAGCAACACTGATATTTATTTACATATATGTATATATGTGAAAATTAATAAAACTAAGGATCGAAACAAGAAGAATGCGAAAGCTCTGACCTCATTGATAAGTTCATATCATCAATTCTCTTCTCAATGCCTTAAATTGTTTGACTTTTGATGCCTTGTTCAAAAAATCTACATGTTGATGAGTTTTTTGTATGTGCTTCAGATCTTATACTTTTGACTCAACCAAATCCCTAATGAAGTGGTACCTGATTTTAATATGTTTAGTCCGGCCATGTTGCACCGGGTTTTTTGAAATATTGATGGCATTATTGTTGTCGCAATGCTACTATGATCAAAATCATAATCTTGTAGTATTTGTTTAATCCATAGAAGCTAAGAACAACATGTTGATGTTGCTATGTATTCCGTTTCGGCTTTGGACAAAGCAATGCTACTTTAAGAACCAACTGATCAAATTACTTCCCAAATCGAAGCAACAACCAGAAAGGCTTTTTTCGATCATCACATGATCCTCCCCAATTAATGTATGTATATTCGATCAGCTCTAGAAATAAGCCATTTCCGCATTGCCAAATCGTATGTTTCTTTAATGTATCTCAAAAAAACCTCTCGACTGCTTTCAAATGAAACAACTTAGGATCAGCTTGATATAGCGCGCAAACTTCTATGTTGAAACTGGTATCTTGTCTACTCGTTATCAAATACTTCAATCTTCCTATCATGTTTTGATATTTCTTTTGATCTACAGAAACACCAACACAGTTATTTGACAATTTTTCTGGTTGTCCCATTGGTGTTCAAATAGCCTTAGCATTTTCTAACCCAAATCTTTACATGATTTTTAGCACATACTTACTGTGATTCAAGAATATACCTTTTGAACATTGTTTGATTTGCAATCCTAGAAAATAATTGGGTTCGCCAATTATCGACATCTCAAACTTTCTTATAAGTCCGACAAAATCATCATTTATTCTTTTTTAGGTTGAGCCAAAGATAATAACATTAACATAGATCTGTGTGATCACAATATCATTTATATTTCTCCTGAAAAAAAAATGTTGTCAAAAGAATGTTGACAGAATTTCTATGCAAGCAGATAAAATGATAACCTTCCTGCTACGCTCTTGGAGTCTGTTTAAGTTTATAAAGCGTTTTATGAAGTTTGTAGACATAAATTAGAAATTTTGGATTCTCAAATCCTATAGACTGAGCAACATAAACTTCTTCATTCAATCATTCATTCAAAAATATTGTGTTGACATCCATTTCAAACAATTTGAATCCCAACATACATGCTACATATAAAAGTTATCGCATTGCCTCCATCGTTGCAACTGGGGAAAATGTTTCGTCATAATCCAATATTTTCAGGTGTGAGTACCCTTAAGCCTCTAACCTTGCATTGTCTCTAATGGCATTCCTATTATCATCGGTCTTATTTATAAATCTATTTCATACTAATGATATTGACATTCGAGAGTGGTTTCACCAATTCGCACACGTGATTTCTTTTAAATTGGATGAGTTCATCTTGCATCACTTATATCCAATATTTATTCTTTAGTACTTTTGTGACAGTGTTGAGTTTAAAATTTTTTAAATAAAGCAGTTTACTCCAGCAAGTTCACAAAATTTTCTTTTTTCCTCTATCAACTCTTCCACCCAAATGATTGCCAATGATAAGATCAGGTCGATGATCTTTGTTAAGTTTGATTTTTTCTTCCCCCATATGACTGTTGTTCAACTGTTTCAAAATGTTGTTCATCTCATGTTTTGAGGACTTAAATTTTGTGTTTAGATTCTGGATTCACTTCAGTTCTAGTAGACTTTTGATGCTTAACTTTTGTCATTTTTTAATCGTTTGACTCATAGTTTCTTTTATCTTCCAATTCATCACAAAAGTCACATTTGCAAACTCCATTACTTTCTTCTTGATCAGATTAAATAATCGATAAACATGGCTATTCATGGAGTGCCCTGGAAGTATAACATCATCCGTTTTTTTATTCAAACTTGCTTCTAAGATGTCTATAATTCGTAACGAAATATTCAAAACCAAAATCGTGGAAGTAATGCTCACTTGGCTTCTTATCCTTCCATCTACAACAAAAAATAGCAAATGAACACATAATATGTTTATCCAATTTGATTGCAAAATCTATGTGTGGGGGTATCAATCTAAGTCGATTCACTATGATATTTTCATGGAATACAAAATCTAACAAAGTGTCATGATAACAACATAAACTCTACAACGAATAACACCAACAAGATATCAAGAACACAACTTATTTTTTCTCATTCAGTGTAAATTTTTTGGATTTGGGTTGCTTCAACTTTGTATCTTCTTAATCCTTCATTACCATTATGAATCACCTTATCTCCTTTATTTTTATTTTTTATTTTTTTTGTATCTTCTCTGCTCTCCAAAGAGTATAGACAAAACTTATCAACACTACACCTCTCAAACTCTAAAAAGTTAAAATCGTATAGCAGCTGTGTTCAACCACTATTAGAGGGGAATTTTGAAAAATTCAGTACAAATTTGTTACACAATCAAATAACTTTGTGGGGACCAAAACTAATAAGACAAATTGCAAACTCTTTTTGGAAAGTATGATTAGACCCAATTCCTTCAATCCACATCAGCTGCTTACATGTATAATTTTGATGAACCTAATTAGCCACATCAGCAAAACATGATATAACATTTTCAATTAATCTAATTCAAATGAATTCAGTCCACGTTAGAATAATTATTAGAGTAACCTGCATAAAACATCATCTAAACAACAAATATGTCAAAAAACACTAGTATGCTTAAGTGGCTTGATTAAAAGATGTACATAAGATCAAGCTGCCTGGATCTATGACTCTTTCTCGAGATTTTTCGTGCAAGTTGGTCTAGCAATTAGTTACATTTCTTTATAAGTGTTGCAAATCATCCATGTTTCATACTTCCTCCGTCCCATAACAAAATATACATTTTTCTATTTTAGTCCGTCCCATAACAAAATATTCATTTCCTTTTTTTTAGGAACTTTACTATATACCTAATATTACAAATACCTTTACAATTTACAATATATTACACAAATGCCATTACTTTTATATCACACATACTAATAAGGTTATTTTAGTCATTTCTACTTTATTCCTACTATATCCTAATATAATACTAATATTTCTAAAACTACGTGCAAAAAGCAAATAGATATTTAGTTCCGGGACGGAGGGAGTATCACTTTCTTGAAGTTTTTGTCATATGCCATTTTATATTGGTGTAATTCCAAAAGAGAATAATCCAATTTTGGTGATTTCAAATTTTGAACCAATCTCCTTCAACTATTTTCGAATTTTCTATAACTCTAATTGCAGTGTCTCTCGTTCGGCTCAAAGCTTTTAGGAATAGACTTCCTTGTTAGTTTCGTTTTGCCCTTCAATAGAAAAGGTCGAGACATACTCTTTCATATTCTTTTTTTTTTTTAGTGAATCGAGCTCCAACATTATATTTTTATTGTCCTTCTGCATTAATTGAAGCAATTGTCTTTGCTCTGAGATGTTATGTCGCAAATACGATTGACTAACTCCTCCATCTTGAAAATTTGGCTAGATGACAAATTTTGAAGTGGAAAATAACCGAAGTGATTAAAATTTGATCCATCTGAGGGTAAGAAAACTCAATTTTGAATTGATTGGAATATCTACCAAAAACATCGATCAATCAAGAACATTAGTGAGAAAAATATTTACACTCGAGCGATACTCTTGGACAAAGGCATTTGTTATCTTAAAAATATTGTTTGATCAAAATTTATAGCAATATTGAATCCTAATTTATTTTAGAGGAAGTCCAATGGTGTGCTTGTTTTGTGAGAAAATTTGAAGATATATTTTTTATGTAAGGTATAAAGAATTTGATATGAAATATAAAAATAATGAATATATATATAATATATTAATATTTTTTTAAAAAAATGTGTAGAAAAAAGCAAAGTTAAAAGAACATACCCCAATTTTGAGAATCTACCCACCAAACTCAATAGTTATGGTACCCAAATCTATTGCACGGATACTTAGGGTGTATTTTTTAAAGAAGTTTGGGAAGATTTTAGTAACTGCCTCCTAAAAAAATGTCTCAAACCTCTCTGCCTCCATAACTCAAGAGTTGCAGCAAACAACAACTTTTGTTTTTTTTGTTTTTTGTATTTTTTTTTAATTTAAATTTAAAATTTACAAAAATATTACACTAACGTGCAAATACTCAGCAAAAGTATTTGATAATTATAATAAATATAATTTAATAAGTTATATAATATATATCATTTTGTAAAAAATTAAAATTTTATATAATATAAATAAATACAAATATGAATATATATATATATGTAAATATAATATAAATACATACTTAAATCATACTATTATTAATTTTAAAAATTTAAATTTAATACACATTTAAATTATTATATTTATTATCCATCAAATCAATATATATCAAAACACCTAAAATTCAAACCAAATTTACATAAAAAAAAAAAAAAACACATCTTAAAATTCAAATCAAATCTAAACCCAAACTCAAAATTTTTCAAATCTTTCAGAGAGAAACACACCCTTAGTTAAAAATCTGGCCAAATTACTTAGAGTTGAAGACATTGATTAATATAGTGAAAAGTTGAATATCCCCTTAATTTGCCTTACTTGTCATTTGAACAAATAAAACTTCTGAATGGATCCCAATATTTCATTCAAAAATTGGATGTTTTCATTTTTAATTTAATTGCTTTTGTTGTTTTAGGTTTTGTAATTTCTTCTTTATATTCATATTTATAATTATTTTGGCAATTCATCTAGATTTTTCCATTATATTTTCCTTTCAACATTTATTCTCTTCACATTTGAATTTTCATTTTTTTATTCAAAAGATTCAATATGATTCCGAATACTATTTTTAAAAAAATAGAATGAATGGGTGTGTTTGTTCGGGGGTTTGAATTTTAAGTTGGGATTTGAATAGTAAAAATTTTGAATTTGAATAGTTGTATGATGTGATATAAATAGGTATTGATGTGATTTTTTTAATGTAAAATTGATTTTTAGTATAATATAAAAAATAAAAATAAGTGTTTGATTCGATGTTTTGGGAGAAAAAAATGGGATGAATAATGAAAATCCAATCCAATTCCTCAAACAAACACGCCCTTAGATAAGTTTATTATTATTATTATTATTATTATTATTATTATTTCTTCAGATATTGTATGATATATATAGTTCGTCTATTTCTACTTGACTGGTCGAGTCTACTTTGCATGTAGAGCCTAATTTATAGGTTAATTAGACCAATATTATGTTGAAATAATAATTCTAATTATTACTAATGAAAATTAAGACTCTCGAACGAATTCAATCCTCACCGTTAATTCATAATTAACGGTCATGATTGATCCACCAGAACCTGAACCCAACCTCAACCCGCAAGACTGTCCATCTCTAGTTAATTTAGGGGCAGAGTAAGAGATAAACGAAGCAACGCCAGATTATTACAGTCCAATCAACAAACCGAATCGCCACGTTAAAATGTGAAAGCCGTTAGGGCAATCGGTGTCTTCCCTTAAACCTTGGAGGCTCACACCGACGCAGGCCCCACCAAGAGGGCGGCGGGGCTTCTCCCGATGTCGATCCGATCCGATCCGATCCGATCAAATTCATCTTTGTCTGTCTCTATCTTTCTCTCGCAAGTGTAATATTCAAATCCCCGTTCCCATTCCCACCCATTCCCCCATTTCTGACCACCTCCCTTTCAAGATAACGACAACCTACGGAGACGAAAGCCCTCGATTTTCCATGGGCGGCTGAAAATTGGAAACCCTCTTTGCCATAAAAGCTGCTGTATGTATGTATGTATGTATGTCTGAGTGTTTTGTAAGTGCCTGCCTATTGGCTATTGGCTATTGGCTATTGGCTATTGTCAAAGATCAGTTTCTGCTTTCCAATTGAGATTATTGTGGCTGCGTTTTGGGAATCGCTGCAAGAATTGGTGAAAGGGATTTTGTGATGGGTGCGCATCGATCTTTCGTTTTTTCATCTCTGTGTAATTTCTTTATCCATCGTCTTCCTCGTTCTGGGGGGTTTCTTTTTCTTGCCCTAGTTTTTTATTTTTGTTCTTTTAAATTCCCAATTGGGTTTGATTTTCCATTAATTGTTGATCATGTTTTTGGGTTTCTTTTGAGTTCGGCTTGTTCATTTTTCACGTGTGTTTCTTTATTTAAATTTGTTGCTGTCTCCAGCCTGGGATCGTTTTTGATGAAAATATACCCCACCTGCATAGAAATGGGAAAAATTGATCTTTCTAAGTATGCATATCCGAGGATTATTTTAGAAGATTTTCTAGTAGCTTTCCAAATCTTGTGATTATTTTTAGAAGATTTTGTATTAGTTCCCCAAATCTTGTGATTGTTCTTGCCCAAATTTGCTATCGTTTTTTATTGCTTTCCTATTTCATTAATCTCTATACGAAATTGCCACTCGCTGTTCTTCAGAGGCCTCGGTCAGTTTTTCTCACAACATGGAAGACGAATACGAGAAGTTTGTAAGGAGAATGAACCCTCCAATGTACGTACACAATATATATATACACACAGATTCCAGTATAGGAAGTGATTAGAACATCATCGTTTAATCCGAAAAATCTTCTGTATTGCAGAGTCGTAATTGACAATGAATCTTGCAGAAATGCAACCGTTATTCAGGTGGGTGTTGGAGTGATCCTTTGTTGAGCTTTCGAATTCTGTGTTGTTCAAGGTTTCATTTCATATGCTTTTTATTGCAGGTCGACAGTTCTTACAAACATGGAGCTTTGTTGGAAGTCGTACAGCTCCTCACGGATCTCAATCTTATTATAACCAAAGCGTATATCTGTTCCGACGCTGGTTGGTTTATGGATGGTACTGAATCTCTAATATTTTTTAGATTCTAGGCATAATTGTTCGATCCCCTGCTGTCCTAATTGTGCGATAACTTGTTCTAATTCATCCTCTGTTTCTCGTTTTCGACAGTATTTAATGTAATTGATCATAATCGAAACAAAGTAACCGATGAAAGGATTCTAGATTACATCAAGAAGGTGTGTTCTGTGTACATTCGGAAAATTCAGACAGTTTTGGTGTCTTGGATCTACAAACATTTGATTACATTTTTTTTTATCGTTGTTTCAATTTTAGTCGCTTGGTCCCGACTCGTATTTCGCATCTTCGATGAGGAGGTCGGTCGGGGTGACATCAGGGACAGACTATACCTCGATTGAGTTGATCGGAACTGATCGTCCGGGGCTGCTGTCCGAGGTGAGTGCTGTCCTAACCCATCTCAAATGCAACGTGGCTAACGCTGAGGTCTGGACACACAACACTCGCGCGGCGGCTGTAATGCAAGTGAAGGACGAGGAGACTGGCGGCGCAATCTCTGACCCCGACAGGCTGGCGCTGATTAAGCGCCTGCTGTGCAATGTCCTAAGCGGCAGCAACAAGTCCCGGGAGGCGAAGACCGCCGTCTCTCATGGAGAAACTCACACCGAGAGGAGGCTTCACCAGATGATGTTCGACGATCGCGATTACGAAGGAATGGATGGTGCGGATTCGTTGGATGAGAAAGAACGGCCGCAAGTGAACGTCGTGGATTGGCACGAGAAGGACTACTCGGTGGTGACGGTCCGGTGTAAGGACAGGCCGAAGCTTCTGTTCGACATCGTCTGCACTTTGACGGATATGCAGTACGTCGTTTTCCACGGGAGTATCGACGCCGAGGGATCCGAATCCGAAGCTTACCAGGAGTATTGCATAAGGCATGTCGACGGATTCCCTGTGAAATCGGATGCCGAGCGACAGCGGGTTATTCAATGTCTTGAAGCTGCGATAGAACGACGAGTGTCGCAAGTAAGGACGGAAAAAAAAATCTTATTTTTTCGCGATCGATTAATCCTTATCTTACATGAGTTTTGACTGTTTTTTTCCTCGTTCTCTTACAGGGATTGAAGCTCGAGCTCTGCACGGCGGACAGATTCGGGCTATTATCTGATGTGACCAGAATTTTCCGTGAGAACAGCCTGACCGTAACGCGGGCAGAAGTGACGACAAGATCGGGCAAGGCAGTGAACACTTTCTATGTCCGGGATGCGTCAGGATACCCGATTGATCCGAAGATCATAGATTCGATACGAAAGACAATCGGGCAGACAATACTCCGCGTAAAAGGTTGTCCCGAGGAGCCAAACCAAGTCTCGCAGGAATCTCCGACAAGATTCCTCTTCGGCGCCTTCTTTAAGTCCAAATCACTCTGCGGATTCAGCTCTGTAAGAACATACACTTGAAGCCTGAATCGGTACGCGCTCTCTATCTTGTACATTCCGATCCTGTGTAGATAAAACGCATCGTATAATCGCTATAGTTTGTATAGAATCATTGCACAGAGATTGGTTCCACGGTCTAAATTGTGTAGTCGATGCGACAAGGTAGTTCTGTCTGAAACATTACATAGCTTGTACAGATTCATGAACTCTCGGAGTCTCGATTATTACAGCGAAAACAGTAATCTTTCATAATGTCTGGAGCAATATTTGAACTCCACGGCTAGGCTGTGTTGTAAGAACTATGTCCGGTGCGTGGACATAGTTCGGCGATAGTGTGAACTTGTAGCGCTGAAGGATCATCGAGAGCGCGATCTTCGCCTCATTAATGGCGAAGTTCATGCCTACGCACATTCGAGGTCCGAACCCGAATCCTAGGAAAGCTGTAGGAATTCCGTCGGTGGCTTTTGCCAGCCCTTTGGTGAATCTCTCCGGTCTGAAAAGATGCGCATCTTTCCCCCATAAGTCGGGATTCTGGTGAAGCGCCTGAACGGGTATGTTTATAAGCATGTCTGCCGGGAATTCAAACTTCCCGAGCTTTACTTTTCTTTCGATTCTTCGTTGAATTGACGATACGGGACCGTAGAGCCTGAGGCTTTCGTATAAGATCATGTTTACAATCTTTAATTTTGCGACGCCGTCGGAGGTGGGTTTGTCCCGACCGAAAATTCCGACGACTTCTTGCCGGGCCTTCTCTTGCCAATTGGTGTCGATTGCGAGAAGAAGTGTGGTCCAGGACAATAATGCGCTCGTCGTGTCTTGTCCCGTGAAGTAGAATGTCTTGCATTCATCGACGATGTCTTCTGCCGATATACTGCGGCTCTGATCGCCGTCATGGTGGGCTTTCAGGAGCGATCCCAAGAAATCGCTACCGAAACTCGTCGACTCGCCGGACTTCATTTCGTTTTCCCGCTTTTCGACGATTTTCATCACTGCGCTGTGGAGTAGCTGCTTGATTCGATCTGCTTCTATTTCATCCTTAGTTTTTACAAAATGTCTGCGGACAGAAAGTTACGGGTAATCAAAATGGGATATATGTAGCTGAATTATGTAAGAAACGGAGGTGAATTGGCAAGAACCTGATCGTTAATGTGTTTCTGGAAATGATCATTCCCAGCTTCGTCAGCAAATCGAAGATCATCCTACCTTCGATGTAACTGCTTCCGAAAGCTGTCCTGGAAATCACCTCGGATGTAAGAGACTTGAATTCGCCGGAGACGTCGATCTCCTCGCCGGCGGCGCGATTCTGCCATTTCTCGAGCATACTTTCGACGCTGGCAACCATTACAGTGAACATATCCTGGCATCAATCAATCAATCAATTTTATGTCCTGATTATCCACTCATTATCACGTTCTTGGATAATTCATTCATTACAGTTGAAACCATTGTCTGAATCATCTGCTATATATATATATATATATATGTATGTATATGTACCTTGAGGCAATCGCCATGGAAGGCATGGTTGGCGAGCTTCCTAACCCTAATCCATTTATCACCTTCTGCAACAACAAGCCCATCTCCCAACAATTTCTTCAGGAAATATCTGGTTCTGGTTTTGGGATATGCACCATCTTTGTTTGTAAGGATTTCTCTGATCAAATCAGGATCAGAGACCACAATTTGGGGCTGAGTGCCAAACCAGTTGAGGAAAACACTCCCTGACATAAATCCGGTTAGTAATTAACAATCGCCATTGTAGAATCAATTAAGGTGTTATTCATGGCCCCGAAAATTTATAAAAAAAAAATATAAAAAAATTGGTACCATATAATTGAATCCAAGCGTGAAGGTGAGGTAAGGTTTTGGGAAAGATGTCGTGAGACAAATCCATGGTTGACTTTCTTGCTTGGTCCTTCATCTCCATGGCCTCTTTGTTGGTGCCATGGAAGAGCCTGTAAGATGGACCTCGGATTCCTTGAAGCTTCATTGCACGCTGGAACTGACGTGGGCCCCACCAGAACTTGTACAGAAAGGCCAGGGAAGACGACAGCAACACTAATATTAGCAGCAGCAGCATCAGATGAACAGCACCCATGGCGATCTGATCAGTTTCACGGAGAGAGAGAGAGAGATTATTTATATCAAAATGAGAATTAAGATTTAAGCAGGAAGGTTTTTTCAATCAATAGGTGCAAGTAAAAGTCAAAGCAAGAGTTATCAAACTGGTATTTTCTACCCACTGTAATAGTGACCACACGGATCGTTCAGTCACCAATGCATCAATAATTTCTGTGGTACAGAGAATTATGTCTAAAATATAAAATATATTAAATATTTGATTTTTTTTTTCATAAAAAAAAAAATTGTATTTTTTATTATTATTTTAAGATTAGTAATTTAAAGATAGTGTTTAAAGAACATGATAATGATAATAATATTATATTTAATAAAATATTTTCCCATAAATTGAACTTCTTCCGTCCTATATATCGTGTCTGTTAGTATTTTTGGAGGGGTGCAATTAGTAGATAATTAAAAATATATTAGTGAAAATAATTATTTTATAATATAAATAATTATAAATTAAAATTAAAATAACTAATTAGTTTAATTAAAATTAAAAAAATAAATTAAAAGGTTTAAAATGAGAGTAAAGTGTGTAATCATTTCCAAAAAAAAAAATAACTTGAAATGTAGGACGAACAGAAACGCCAACGTGAACATGGTACGCGGAGAGAGTAACTTCTTTAATAAAAAAAAAAATATCATTTTCCACATAATGTATTTTTGTACATGTGGATAGAAACAATGACGGAATCATATTTGCGGCTCTGGGGAAAAATTGTTATATTTATTTGTTTTATTATTTTTACCGTTTATTTTTAGTTTTAATCTATTTCGAGTCTGTTTTTTATTTGAATAACTATTCAGTTGTTTTTGTTTGTACAAAAAATAATATAAGAACTTTCTTGTCGATTCATTTCTATCAACTTGATGTAATCTTAACTTTTTCAGTTTTTATTATCACTAGAATGTGATTGTGAATAAAAATAAAAAATAAACGGAACAATATTTAAGATAAAATATTTTATTTTTTATATAATATATTTATAAATACAAATATTAATATTATTATAAATTAAAATAATAATAATAATATGAAGTTATGCAGCATATTAATCCTAAATTTGAGGGCAAATTTGATTACTAAATAAAAAAAAAAAAAAAAAATTATACTTCAAAAAAATTGGGAAGAGCTTAGAGGGTCAGGTGACCCCCAAACCCAGTGTAGATCCGTCACTTGATAGAAATATACCATGCATAGTGGCAATTGTCAATTAGGTTAGATTTTAGAAATTTACGGTCAATACACTTTCGCTCATTTGATACTATTTATTTTTTCAAAAAATATCACATCAAATACACTTTTTCTCTCACGAAATATCAAATTAAATACTTATTTTTTAGTTTTTCCAAACTTCCAAATTTCCAAAAACCTAAAATTCATATCTAAACAAACCCTTAGTTTTAGATTTTTTATATTTAGATTTGTTGAGTTTAGATTTATGGTGTATTTGTTTGGGAGTTTGAATTTTGAGTTGGGATTTAAATAGTAAAAATTTTGAATTGATATAATTGTGCGATGTAATATAAATAGGTGTTAATGCGATATTTTTAATGTAAAATTGATTTTTAGTATTATTGAGATATTTTAGATATTCAGATTTAGTATATTATATCTAGATTTGATCTTATTCATAGATTAGATTACTTAGATTTGAGTCTATCGAGTCTATTTTGTATGGCCAATATATAGGCTTCTTATTTTGACGATAATAAGACAATCTCATTATTTTCCCCCAAACTTTCTAACATGGTATCAGAGCATGGTTTTTCAAAACCAAAACCCTAGTCGTCGCCACCGCTGTTCGCCGTCCGTCGTCCGCCCTTCTCCGGTCGTCGTTTTTTTTTCGGTCGCCGCCTCCTGCTTTGTTCCCTACGTCGTGGTGTGGTTGGTTTTGTCATCGGAGTTGATCTCGTTTTGCGACTGCTACCTATTGCATTGTTCGATCTATTTTTTTTTTTGGGCTTTGATTTCGTGATACAGATATTTTTATACGTTTTTTTGTTATGGAGCGTATGGACGTTCATTTACCTATTACTACCATCTTGTCCGGCGATAATTATGATCTTTGAATGCAGTCTATGAAAAGTTTCTTGATTGGTAGGAAGTTATGGCGAATTGTCACTGGCGATATCCGACCACCTGTTTCTCCATCTCCTTTTGTGCATGTTGATCCCACCTCTCGGGACCATGAAGATTATGTTGCCAAATTGGAAGATTGGGATAGTAGAATCATCAGATTCTTACTTGGTTGCGTAATACTTCTGTACCTGCGATTCAGGTACAATTGACTCCTTTTGATACTGCATGGGATTTCCTCGCTGCTCGTTTTCAGACTACAGGTCTTGCTCATTATTATCAACTTTGGACCACGATGAGCTCCGCCCGATAGCAACCTGGTCAGTCTGTTAATGAATTTCTTGCTCAGGTTCAGCCTATTCGTTATCGTCTCCGGCAGTCACAAATTAGTCAGGACCATATTAACCTTATTCAGATCTTGATGGCCCTTCGACCTGAATATGAGCTGTTCGTGCCTCACTCCTACATCGACATCCATTGCCTACTCTTGATGCTGCCATTCAGGAGATTACTTTTGAGGAGACCCGTCTCCAATTGGCTAAGACACCGAATTCTGATTCTGCTTTAGCTGTGTCTCGCCAGTCCCGATCTGCTCGTACTAGATGTCGAGTTTGCAAATCTCCTGATCACACTTGGTCTACCTGTCCGAAGATTGAGTGCCACTCATGTCGTCTGCGTGGCCATATTGCTCCGGTCTGTCCCACAAGATCTCAACGTTCAGGTAGTTCTGCTCCTAGTCATTCCGGTAGCTTTGCTCCCAAACCTCGGGAGCCTAGTGAGTCTTCTTCGACTGCATTTTCTACGATTACGGCTGCTACTACTGATGAGACTCAGCATGCGCCTTACAATCCTCAGGACATAGAAACCATCATCAAACAGGTTATGCAAACCAATTCTGCTATGTCTACCACTCCAGGTACATCTACTTGGTATTTTATTCTGGTTGTTGTCACCATATGACCTCTAACCCTCGTAACTTGACCTATATGTCCCCTGTCTCCCATTTACCACCCATACATACTGCCAATGGTACTACCATGCATATTACCCACACCGGTCTTGCGTCCTCCACTTCCTTATATCTTCCTGATACATATTGCATCCCTGACTTAACCTTAAATCTTATCTCTATTGAGCAATTAGTTGAACAAGGTCTTACCGTTACATTTTTTCTGGTGGTGTGCAGGTTCAGGATTCTCAGACGGGTCAGCTTCTCGGGACGGGATGCAAAACGGGTCAGTTATTTGAGCTTGAGTCTCTTCATACCTCCTGCACCTTTAGAAAGTTATTTGAGTCTTTTAAGTGTGTCGATTGTCAACTTGGTAAACAACCCGTTCTTAGTTTTTCAGAAAGTTCATCTATTGCTACTGAACCTTTTTCTTTAGTCCATTTTGACATTTGGGGTCCTTCTCCTGTTGCTTCCGTTAGTGGTTTTCAGTATTATGTTATATTTATTGATGATTTTTCACGATTTACTTGGATTTATTTTTTGAAAAATCGTTCTGAATTACCTTCTATATATGCTCAGTTTGCTCAGATGATTCACACTCAATTCTCCCATCCTATTAAAGTCCTTCGTACTGATAATGCTTGTGAGTACAATACGTCATCATTTTCGCAGTTTTTATCTAGTCAGGGTACCTTGGTATAGCGTTCCTGTCCTTATACGTCCCAACAAAATGGGCGGGCAGAACGCAAACATCGTCATATTCTCGATACTGTTCGTGCCCTTCTTCTTTCTGCTAAGTGTCCTGATCTTTTTTGGGGGGAAGCAGCGTTAACTGCTGTTTACAGCATTAATTGGTTACCCTCGTCAGTCCTCCATGATGTCAGTCCCTTCGAGCGTCTATTTGGTCAGTCTCCTGATTATAGTTTATTCCATCCATTTGGTTGTGTGTGCTTTGTCCTCCTCCCTCCCCATGAGCGGACAAAGCTTCAACCTTGAGCTCGTTTATGTTTTTTTTTTGTTATGGCGACTAACACAAGGGTTATAGATGTTGGGATCCTATTTCTAATCGGTTGCGCATATCTCGTCATGTCACCTTTTGGGACCGCACATATTTCTCCACCTTATCCAAGTTTAGCACACCGTTTCACTCATCTTCTCCCTTCTTTTCGTCTTCTCTCTCTGATCTCTTCCTAAACACCTCTTCCTCTTCTTCACCACAGCTCATTGATCAATCTGTCTTGTCATCGTCTACTGGAGTTAATCCGTCTGCGCCTCCTGAGCCGACGCCTCTTGAGCCGACGTCTACTCCTACACCTCTCCCTACTTGTCGTCGCTCCACTTGTGTAAGTAAACCTCCTTCACACCTTAATGATTACCATTGTTACTCTGTCATTTTATCTCAACATGAACCTAGGTCCTTTCGTGAGGCGAATGCTGATCCATTATGGCAGCAAGCTATGACTGAAGAATTGCAGGCTCTGGAAAAGACTCACACTTGGGATTTAGTGGATTTGCCCTCAGGAAAAACCCCTATTGGGTGCAAGTGGATTTTTAAAATTAAGACACACTCGATGGTTCCATTGAGCGCTACAAGGCTCGTCTGGTGGCCAAAGGTTATTCCCAAGGGTATGGAATTGACTATGAGGAGACCTTTGCTCATGTTGCTCGTCTCACTACTGTTTGTTGTCTTCTTGCCGTTGCGGCTGTTCGTCAATGGTCCCTTCTTCAGTTAGATGTCAAGAATGCATTCCTCCATGGCACACTTTCTGAAGAAGTTTATATGACCCCTCCTCCAGGTTTCTTGTCTTCTGGAAAAGTTTGTCGCTTGCGCCGTGCTTTATATGGGTTGAAGCAGGCCCCTCGGGCTTGGTATGCCACATTCAGCGCTGCACTATTGGAGTTTGGTTTTACCACATGTGCTTACGAATCTGGTTTATTTCTTCGTTGTTCTTCATCAGGGATAGTTATACTCTTACTTTATGCAGACGATATGATCATCACCGGAGATGATGCATCTGGTATTTCTGATCTACAAGCATATCTTAGCCAGCAGTTTGAGATGAAGAGTTTGGGTCCCCTTCGTTACTTTTTGGGGCTTGAAGTCTCTGATTCTCCCGATGGTTTCTTTCTGTCCCAGGTTAAGTATGCCTCCGATCTTCTTGCTCGAGCTGGTCTCACAGACTGTCAGGTAGCATCTACACCACTTGCGTACGACGTTCGACTTACTCCTCATGATGGCTCTCTTCTTGATGATCCTACTCTTTATCGTCAACTTGTTGGGAATTTGATCTATTTGACTGTCACTCGACCAGATATCGCTCATGCAGTCCATATTGTAAGTCAGTTCATGGCAGCTCCGAGGACCTCTCACCACTCTGCCGTCTTACAGATTCTTCGTTATGTGAAAGGTACTTTTCTGCATGGCTTACAGTTCTCCTCTAACTCCTCTTTGACTCTCAGCGGTTATTCTGATGCTGATTGGGCTGGTGATCCCACCGATCGACGCTCGACCATTGGTTTCTGCTTCTTCCTGGGTGATTCTCTCATTTCTTGGCGCAGCAAGAAACAAACTTTAGTTTCTCGCTCAAGTGTCGAGTCAGAGTACCGTGCTCTTGCTGACTCTACTTCAGAACTTTTATGGCTTCGACGGCTACTCACTGACCTTTGTGCCCCTCAGCCATCTTCTACGGCTCTTCACTGTGATAGTCAGAGTGCTATGAAGATGGCCCATAATGATACCTTCCACGAGCGCACCAAGCATATTGAGCTTGACTGTCACTTTATTTGACAACATGTTGTCAATGGAGTAGTTCATCTCATTCCAGTATCTTCTGAAGATCAGACAACAGATATCTTTACCAAATCTCTTCTTCCAGGCCGTTTTCGATTACTTTTGGACAAACTCAAGTTGGTCTCTACTGCCCTATCTTGAGTTTGAGGGGGGATGTTGAGATATTTTAGATATTCAGATTTAGTAGATTTATATCTAGATTTGATCTTATTCATAGATTAGATTACTTAGATTTGAGTCTATCGAGTCTATTTTGTATGGCCTATATATAGGCTTCTTATTTTGACGATAATAAGACAATCTCATTATTTTCCCCAAACTTTCTAACAAGTATATTACAGAAAATAAAAAATAAGTATTTAATTTAATATTTTGATTAATCTGTTTTATTGATAAATAATATAAATCCTCGCAAATCTCCCAAGCAAACACACCCAGATCTAAAATCTCTAGACAAAAGTAAAAATCTCACATATCACGAAAAAACCACACACTTTGATCTGGATCTTCATTTTGTCACTGAACAAGATTATTGAAATTGCTTACGTAGCCATTACAGAAGAATAAATTGCGGATAAGATGACAAAAGGTCTTGTACGATACCATAGCACCAGTTAAATCTGTTGGAGTTGTTACGGTTTGTTGTAGTAGACATATAATTATGTATTTACACAATATATTCAAAAACAAAAAACAAAAAAAAAAATTAGAAATGGCAAAATACATGTCTGTTCTCAGCTTCCGCTGTTGATTTTTTCGTTTGAAGTTGACATATTGATAATAATAATTTTAAAATATTTAATTAATAAAACATCTAATGGGCGAACTCGATTATGAATCGGGTATTACAGGAGTATTCTATCTGACTAAGAGAGAAGCCCTAAATGCAGAAGGAGATAAGATTTGGAGATAAATTAGATGTTTTTGTATACATAGCTGTGTAAATTTCAGACAAAGTTGTGCATTTGGTCACTATTCAAGGATTAGATGCCAGATCACCGGTTATGTCCATATCAATGCTTTCCGTATGTTTATAAAAATTAATTAAGATTGTTTATAATGTAAGTAAAATTAATGATTTTTTTATATTAGAACTAAAATTGATAATTTTTTGTTTCATTGAGGTCTATTTTCAATATTTATGTCTTTTCCCAATTGATACTCCCTCCGTCCCTTAATAATCTATTTATTTTTCTATTTTGGTCTATTCAATAATAAAGTATCTATTTTTTTTAAGTAATTATACTATCTACCTAATATTATAAATAATCTTTCAATTTACAATATATTACGCAAATGTCATTACATTTATATCATACAATACTAATAGGATTAATTTAGTTTTTTTAATTTTATTTATACTTTATTTTAATACAATACTAATATTTTTAAAATTACGTGCAAAAATCAAATGAATATATAGATAGGGGACAGAGGGAGTATTATACTACAAATTTTCTGTTGTTTTGTGCTCAATACAGTTTCTTCCGTGCATAAAATGTGTAACGGACAAGAAGCAACAAATCGTAAATGCCTATACAACTCTTACAGATCTAACCTAAACTTGAACTCAAATTCAAACCCGAAGCTGACATATATCAAGATTTATGTTTTTATTTTAAAAAATTATAATAAAATCATCACAAATAAACGAATTTTACATAAATAATTTTTTTTAAAAAAAAAAATTGCAATGTTGAAAATTATTTTTGTCTTTAAAAGTCATTCATATATTATTATATTAATCATATCAAATCTAAATCCGGATCCGAATTGAGTGCATCCTTATCCTTGTAAACACTAATTAAACTCAATTCAAACCCGAATAAGATATATAATACCATACTCATACCTAATACTTGAATAATTGAATGAATCGAGTTCGAGTGTAGTCAAACCCAACAAATAGTAAAAATCATTATCGACTTGTTAAATAAGACTTGAGAAGTTTGAGAAATTTGAAAGGTAAATCGAAAGTTGAGAACTCCGCGAACGTGGTCAGTTATGAAAGTGATTTACTTCTTTTAAATATAAATCCGGTTGAGAATTCTAATTGGGTGATGGATTCTGCTGCCGATGTCCATATATGTAAAGATCAAATTTTATTTGATATTTTGCATACAAAGGGAGATTTTGGCTATATCAATATGAGGAATAAGATGAAGCAACGAATTGAAGACATTTGAAGAGTTCGCTTGAAGCTCTACAATGGTAATGTCAAAACGATTTTTAATATGAGTTATGTGCCTACTGTGGAGCTAATGTTATTTCATTGGCGAGTTGGCTTCACATGGACATTATATGTTGGCACTAAAAATCTATGCAAAATATAAAGGAATGACAACTTGATTGTGCAAGGGAGGAAAAAATAAAACATCTATTATCCAGATGGATGCGCCGTGTGAGCAATGTGAAGAGCAGCAATAATACGAAAAATCAGAAAATCGAAAAGAGAGTTTCTTTTTCTGACATGGTCGAAATATGTGAAACTATGGGAAGAGGAATGAGTTGTTGTGTAACTTCCTATGTTAAATAATTTAATATAATAAACAAACAAACAAACATCATTTCTCTAGCAATACATTGGTCAAAAAATTGACCGTAGTAACAACATTGGTAGATTGTCAGTCTAATCAAAAGTAAATTATTTTGTGTGTTGATCGTTCTTTCCGTTATATATTTTATTCTTTTTGAATGAGACTTCTAAATACCATAAAAGTTTTATAATTATACCTTATCTCATTGGCTGCTTGTTATATCTTAATTTTTTCCGCTTTTTGCGATACACCAATTAAGCCAATTCATGTCACAATTTTGGATTGCACTACTCTATCGACCCTCCCCAGAATGTTACGGCCTTTGCAGATGCTGATTAAGGCACATATTTTGATAGTCATAAGTACTTTCTATTGCGGAATCTGAATACCGCAGTATGAATTTGTACAGTTATCTTACATATTTCATGTCTCGAAGCTCGACAACCAAGGAGTTTTTCACATTCCAGAAAACTCCATGTTTCACGATCGGACCAAACAAATCGACATTGCTTGCCATTTCATCAGACATTATTACGACATCAAATACCCGTTCCTGTCTTTACGCGCAATAGTGATCAGTTAACCGACATCCTCGTGAAACCTCTTCATGGCACGACTTTCTTCCAGCTAGCTGATTGCAAAGGATGTAGTTACAAAAAGTTCCCAGAAGTCGAAGGTTGAAGATGACTCTCAAGGCCGTTAGTTTATTATTTTTCGTTGGGCCATTTAATTTAATTTGGTCTGGCCCATTTCCTTATTTTAGGCAGTTTGTTTTTTGTTTTCGGTTGTATATAATTTGTACCTTCATTTCATCGGTTGAAAAGTAAAATCATCAGAACCCACTGTTATCCTAATCTTTGGGGGTGATTCTTATGCTCAGAGACTCATTGTTTGTAATATGATCCCAAAATTAATACTAATATTTAAACATATTTTTGAACTATTGAAAAAATAATAGAGAATTTAATTAAAAAATATTTATTTAATTTGAAATTAATAAAAAGACAGGCTCATTACATACCGTGCACACTATGTATATTAATATAATAAAAATTCATCGCATGAACAAAGAAGACATACTAAATCACATCAATACACACGAGCACACAGTATTATTACAAATTTTAAAATATTATATCTTTAGGCATTCAGCATAATTCAGTAATGATTCAATCAGCATCGGCATCCGATGGCACAAATACTCCATACGAATAATATAGAAACTTAACATTACCATCAAGTGCCACTATTTCGATTATATTATATATCAGAACCTTTCGACTCTTACCAATTATTGTCTAGTGAGACCATCACGGGTGGGTTTGGTTCTATGGTCCCAATGGGTCACAAGATTTGTTTATTCAGTACCTGCTTAATTATAAGATGTCTGCCATGACTCGTCGTGGACTTCCACAGCACTCTGTTGAATTGAAATGGCGATATTGCTCCTCCTCCTCCTCAGCCTTCCGATCATCTGTCTCCTGTTACTCGCCCTCGGATCACTAAAGAAACTATGGCTGGATGTGATCCGCGTGCAGGCCGCGATGAATTCGCAAGGCGTCAACGGGCCTTCTTACAGATTCCTGCACGGGAACACAAAGGAGATCGTCAGCATGAGAAGAGAGAGCACGGCGAAAGCCATGGATGGCATATCGCACGACATATTTCCCCGAATCCAGCCTCACTTGCACACATGGACCCGACTCTATGGTGAGCCGACTCATTGCATCCATCCTTTTCGATCTTGTCTCCATTGCTAAGATTATTTTCTCGTAGGCACAATCTTCCTCTTCTGGTATGGTTCGACCCCTGAACTGGTCACCACAGAAGCAGACCTTATTAAAGAAGTTTTAACCAACAGGGATGGCCACTACACTAAATTAGTTCTCCAAGGATACAGTAAGAAGCTATTAGGAGACGGGCTCTCATCGTCAGAAGGTAAAAAGTGGATGAAGATGCGGAAAATCGCAGACAGCTTCTTCAATGGAAAGAGTCTCAAGGTAGGATCCGCCGCCCTGTCATTTAAAAAAATACATCAGATCACTTGAAACAAAGCCTAAATTAAAATTTTAGAGGTACAAATGTTTTGTGAACAGAGTATGATTCCTGAAATGGTGGCGAGTGTGGAGACAATGCTTGAGAAATGGAAGGAGTATGAAGATAAAGAGATTGAGGTTTTGGAAGAGTTTAGAATCCTAACATCGGAAATAATTTCCAGGACAGCTTTTGGCAGCAGTTACACAGAAGGGAAGAACATATTTGACATGTTGATGCAGCTCACACTGATCCTCACAAGAAATCATAACAAAATCAGGTTTCCCGGTATCAGGTATTCTCCAACTAGCTCACACTATAACCTAATTCTGCCTACACACTATGATTCAGTTGTATATTCAAAATGAGATAATCGAGAAGCAACTGCGTCCGGGTTCTAACAAGAAACCAATTCATAATTCATATCAGTGGTTTAGATCTCACTATCAAGAAACTTACTTCAGCAATAACAGTGTTCCATACTGGGCATCATTTTCAACTCTTGCAGCCGATTCCTGCCAGATAAAGACGAAATAGAATCAGACAAGCTTCAACAAGGAATCCGAGATCGCATTTTTCAGATGATAAAGAAGAAAGAAACAGAACAAGGAAGCAGACCTGATTTTCTGGGGAAGCTTTTGGAAGTAAATCGAGACACAGAGGAAAGCATGAAAATATCAGTGGAAGATATAGTCGACGAATGCAAGACATTCTATTTTGCTGGGCATGAAACATTAACTTCGTTACTCAGCTGGACAATTCTTCTGCTTTCAGTCCATCAAGAATGGCAAGAAAGAGCAAGGAAAGAGGTGACTGAACTGTTTGCAGGCCAGAAACCTGATCCAGAAGGAATTTCGAGGATGAAAATTGTGAGAACTGATCCCCCCAAAATCAAATTTCTTTAACCACACAATTTTACTCATCTCAACATATTCTGTGCTTCGGATTCCATGCAGATGAACCTGATCATTCAAGAATCGCTGAGATTATATCCACCAATTCCTGAAATTAAAAGAAGAGTTGATAAGCAAACAAAACTTGGGAAATTATCACTAATTCCTGAAACTAAGATTGGTATCTCACAATTGGCAATTCATCATGATCCCAAAATTTGGGGAGCAGAAGCTCACCTTTTCAGACCAGAGCGATTCAAAGAAGCGGTTGTGAAGGCCTGCAATGGAAACGCAGCTGCATTCATTCCATTTGGGTTCGGGCCTAGGATCTGTGTTGGCTTGAACTTTGCAACTGCAGAGACAAAAATTGCAGTTTCCATGATTCTCTTGCGCTACAAACTGATCGTGTCAACAACTTACATCCACTCTCCAATACAGGCTTTCACAATTCGTCCGCAGCATGGCATTCCAGTTATCCTCCAGAGAATTAAATAGCAGGAAAAGACAAACAGTTCATAATGCTATACAAAATCAAAATAATACCAAAGCTGTGAATGGCTGGAGAAGAACAGCCAAGAAGCCTTAAAACAGGCTGTTTGCAAAGTGACCTGTTGATGTTTTATATTGCATTTAATTTTGCTTCAATACTCCTGTCATTGTGGATTTGAATGGCACAGAAAGAATAATATAATTGCAACAAATTTTAGCATCTTACAATACAAATCAATAAAACAGGATTGAATCCTGTTAGAGACAGGTTTCTTGGTCAACTCAGTTTCATTTTTCTCCGACGCATGAACATATGATGAATCCACACCACCACCACCCATAAATATGTCTGCAATAACATTCATCACTAATCAGAAAATAGTCCATAAAATAGCAACAGGTGAAAACTTATCAACAATGTGTATTATAACTAAAATCTAAGAATACACATGGGCGCAGCTCATGTCTAAGTAATGGAAAGAAGTTAATTACCCGAAGCAATATCACTTCTTTCTCTTCTTGCCTTTTCCTAACTGTCCGGATTTATAAGCGTGCTCCTGCTCTTGGAGGAATGCTTTATGCCTTCCATACTGCTCGGCTCGTTCTTCCTCCATTCGTGCCTTATCCTTTTCCTTCACCTCTGACAAGAAGTAATTATCTTTTCGTAATTCACGTACTGCACCCTTAGCCTCCTGTTTTAAATGTTTCTTTAATTTTTTCCTCTCTGCTCGTTCGCGGTCTGGATCATAATCTCTTCCCTTAACAAAGCTGCCAGATTAATTCAAGTTACCATAAGTGAACTTAACAGCTTAGCTTCTCTAGGCAGATTAAGGAAGACTTGGAAAGTAAATTGAATGATGACTCACTTATCCTCGAACTTAGGAACTGCTGTTTTAATAACCTTTGGCTTTCGAATTCGTAGTGGCTGTCGCAGGAAGTGGTGCTCCTTAGATTTATTCTCAATATATTCAACAGCATCTTCAATTTCATTCTTTAAAGCATCAGGCATATGATCTTCTTTGGCTAGCTCCTGTAATATTTTCGAAACCGGCAAAAATATCTCCGGGAAGGATTTGAGTTCCTCATAAATGTTGACAAATCCTTTTAGGTTCTTGATAATTGCAAGAAGTATGCTTGCCCTGTACAAAAGTAGAGAAATTACAGTGCATATAAATTGTGGTAAACTAAAAACGTCAGATACATCAATATAAAAGTTAAAGATCCAAAACTGATAAGACTCAAACTTGGATATGTTTAGTTGTATTTTGGTTTTGTTTTCAGTTGTTTTGGGCTTTGAAATATCTAAAGTGAAATGGATCGGAAGTGATATTCAGAAGTAAATACATGTTGAGTTCACTATCAATAGAATAGTGCGGAAATGGGAAAAAAATACAAGTAAACACAGAGCTTTGCAAAATAATCTTTTATACAAGAAGTCATGCACTAGGTCATCTAAGGTTCATGCAAAAGATAGAACCATAAAGTTAAGTCCTGACCTGAAATCGTCGGAGGTAAAGTAAGGAGAATCATCTGGGGAATTCATCAATGTTAGAAAGTCTAATGTTTTAATCTCTTTAACTTGCCCTTGAAAATGGAGCAATGGATGCAGTGCTTTTAGTTCCATAAGATGATATAACTGCATCATAGCAAACACCAATTAGTCAAATCTTTACCCAAACACCTGGGTGCAACATAAGATATACTTACAGTTAATTTCAGAAGATAAAAGTGTACAAGAGAATAATTGGGAGCATGGAAAGGACCTGTGAGGCTTCAAGTTTTTGTTTGTCAGATTGAGCTGCCAAAAGAACTGCAACTATGAAAGAAATAGCCTCAGGACAATACTTCTTGGATTGTCTGCAGACCTGCAATAATTTATCATATGGAACAGTAGATTCAGAAGAGAATGCAAATGACCAAGTAGAATCTGTGAAGAAGAATGTGAAAGAAACACTCACACAAAGCAACATAGAACACAAGAAGGAACCGATCGCAATGTCTCGGCCAGAAGTCGCAGGACACCGCATGATGTATTCAGACATTAACAAGATTGCAGGAGTCGTGACAGCATGACGGAAATCAGAGCAAGGGAAGATCAAGGACCACAATCGCAAGAGAAACAGAGTCTTCACAGAAGGCCAGCAAGTTTTACCTATTGTTGATGGTGAATCAAAATGTAAGAATGAAAATGAGCTGACAATCTCAATAAACCAAAAGCTCTTGAGTCATGTTGCTTTCGTTCGTCATCAACATATATTCCATTCTTACACTGTAACAAAATTGTGTAAAGGAATGTACAGTGTTTAAAATGGGTTAAGAACCTTTTGACACTTATTATGGCGTACCTGTATCTTTAATACACAGACAAAACTGTTTGTGGGTACTAAACAACCGCTGGCGAGCACAAAGGGCTGCGAAGTACGGTGTTTCAGCACTCATTTCTATTAGTGGCTTGGTAAGCATATTGAGCAACTTGAATTTTAACGGCTTTTTGTTTGCCAAAACAGCAAAATATTGCAGTAGCAAACCATAGAACACCTGGAAATTAATCAAACCACCTATTACAAATAGATATAGTAAAAATAAACAAATAATAAAATCACAAAACCAATATAAGATGTCATACTTGCATCTTTCTTCGATTCTCTGCAGCTATGGAGACTGCATTGAATGTTCGAATTCGCCTTATTGCCTCCACAATTTGATCATCCGAAAGATTGTCAAACCTATCAGTAAGCCCTTTAAAATCTTTTGGCGCTTCGATTGTGTAGGGAAGCTCTCCTTTCCTATCCAAATCTTTTTTAACCTTAGTCTTCACTTTGCAATCAGCACCATCTTTTTGTTTCTTTTTACTCTGTTGCATATTTTTCAGGTCTGGTACTCCCACGTGCTTATCAGTATCATCACTTGCCTCACCAGCATCTTCTTCCTCCTTCAAATTAATTTCACTATAATCGTCATCACTTTGTTCCCAGTCCCTGAGAGAGTGGGGCACCTTATCTTCAACATTTTCCTCATCAAATTCGTCATGCTCCTCATCTTCCTTGTCATCATCATCATCACCACCCTCATCTTCACCATCAACCTCTGATTCACCGGAACTCTCAGTATCTTCACCCTCAAGATTATTAGTATTTTCTCTTCTCAGGATCTCCTCAATCCAGCCAACTTTAGATGTTGACTTGTCAACATGAGAGAAGGAGTCACCCAGATCGTCCCCAGAAATATGTGTAATCTGCTTCTCATCATCTTCAGAAGTATTGCCATCTTCATCGCTGGAATCATCAGCTGCATGCATCCTTTTTAGGCGTTCCTCCTGAAACAAAATACAGATGAGAACTTTCTCCAAATTCTTATTTACACAATTTGAGTCTTTTCCTTTTATAGTTCAAGCACTAATAGATATATACCTCCATGTGTTCTAGGTGATCTTTCTCCTCCTGAGCCAACTCCTCAGGTGTTTTTGTCCTGTCTGATGGTCGAGCCCTCATATCAAGTGCCATTTCACTAACTAGTTTATCATATTGATCATATTTTTCCTGCATAAATTCCCACAAAAATTAAAGACCTGCTTTGGATGGAACAACATTCATCATACATGATTCTAGAAGCATAGTGCACTACAAGGAAAACCATGCAAAATATAGAGGAAATAGTAGATTTCCTTAATAGTCTTTCTGAAAACATGAATATATTAGTTACTGTAATAATAAGAGCATGCAGTACCTGTGGAAGAGACACATTGTTCTGAGCACTGTGTGCTTCCACTTCTACAGTATTTGGCATGCCGGGATTAACCAGAGCTTTAATAGCTTTCATTTTATCTGGTTGTGTCAGTGAAAGGAGGGCCTCAGACTGAACTAAGGACATGAAATCCTTATCGAGCTGTTCAACAAGTTTTTCATTTTCTTCCTTCTCATTAGCTTTTTGAGCCTGATAGGCATCCACAAGACAAAACCAAGGAGCAGTCAGAGACTATCATTAGCAAATGACCTATTGCATTTTAAAAGGGGAAAGAAAACGCCCACACACATACCTTGAAGAACTTACTTTTTGAAATAATATCCTCCATTACTTCTTTCTTGCTCTTAGGCCTCTGTAGTAAAAGTAAGAAAGTAGTCAAGAATGAACTGAGGGATTGGACTTTATAAGGATACAATAAGTACTACAGGTGAAACAATGAAATAAAAGCTTAACCACTCACCCTCAACATTTTTATACATCATTATGCACGCAAATTTACAAAAGACTATTCCTCCAACATGATAACGAAAAAAAAAACCAAAAAAAGGAAAAAGGGGAATCATCTCTCTTTCTATTAAACAATAAAAGATCGATGGTTTATCGATGGTTTGGTACAAATGTATAAAAAATAAATAAATAAATAAATAACGATGGATAGCAGGTATTAAGCAGTGCAACATCAAAAAAATAAATGAATCTCACACGTTCAACTCCTTCTGAACCTGACTTTTCACCATCTTGTGCTTCATTGTAATTTAGTTGCTGTAAGTTAATATTTTCTGCACAGTAAAGAAGCATATATGATTATCCCCATTCAATCACACACACATAGTTCCTTGTAAAAGAAAACTAATACAAGAACAAATAACATGAGGGAAAATGATAGATTATTGGATTATTTAACCCAACATTTACCACCAATCAAAACAGGCTATAAGTTTGATATAATCTCACTGTTGACAAACCGGCATAAACAGCTCTTAATAGACCCTGACGTGAATGTATCTGCTTAACTGTTATGTACTCTATAGGGATAAAGAACTCTTGAAAGTTTTTGTATTTATGAGAACAATAAGCTCAAGTATTAAATACATCTTCAAAATACTTAATAAATTTTTAAAAATAAATTAAATTGATGGAAATATGAAGATAATATGTAGTTTCAATTAAATTCACAGGAGAAACGAATTGTATATATCCTGCCTCCAAAGACAGGATCAATGAACTTCTCAGCTTCAATTAACAAAATTCTGTTGTGTTTTCTTTGCAACATGCCTTAAACAAATATCCTTTCACATTGACCCAAAACCTACTCAACAAGAAGCTTGAAGCTACTAAAAAGTCAAATAAATAGAAACAAAAGAGAGGAAATCTACAAATTTGAGGAGAAAACTTACTCCCAGCGACAGAAAACTCGCCATCCTCATCCTCATCCAATGTTTCTTCATCTTCAAAATCATCCCTCACAGGATAACCATTGTCTGGAAACTCAAAGTCATCTTCTCCATCAGACAGATTGAACTTGCTTTTCTTCTTCAATTTCAACTGATTACACCAGCAGGAGTACAACATAATTTAGTAAAGACATCTGACACCTATATACCAAAACTAACAGTATTGATGCTTCAAGGATTGTTCTTTTTCAGTGACTCAGGTTCTTCATGAGTATCATATGATTTCTGATGTTTTTTAATTAGCATGAACTTAGCTATATTAATTGTTCCAGCTGGTAGATCAGTATGGAGTAAATGTTCTTTTGAAATTACAAAAAAAAATGGAAACCCATAACATCAGAGACAATTTAGAAGATATAATCAGATCACCTGCCGTTCACGCTGAGACCTCATGATTGCCTTGTCAAACTCCCCAAGTCCTTCACTCTGCTCGCCAATTCTCTTATCCAGAAATACAGAAGACTTTGTGCTCTGTTGATATTCCTTCAGCAGAGTATTTTGCCTCTGCATTCATTCCAACCACAATAATATTCAAGTTCAAATACACTCAAATATCACAAGACACGCACAAAATCCAAATATATATATATATATATATCCTTAAAAATCCAAAAGAACTTTAGTAATGTAAGAGTTACGGCATCCAAATTAACAATGCATGCAATGAGTCCCGAAGAAATTATGTAAAGGCTATCAGGGACAAGAAAAGGGAAACATCAAATTTTCTATAGAGTTTACACAAGCATAAAAATTCAACACAAAATACCACTTTTCTAAACACCTGTATATATACAATCCCTATTCATGGAAAACTACACTAGCCAAACGAGAGGAACAATCGCCAAATGCATCTCACGCATACCTTGAGAACGGCGAGTGAGCGAGAGCGCCCAACCCGGCGTCGCTCTTCATCCTTGCGTTTCTTGCCCAAGACATCGAATTTCCTCCGCGACCATATGCTCTCAAAAGGATTTTCCTTGGAAACTTTGGTTTTCCGCGACTCCGCATTCAGAGTGCTCAACTTACTTCTAATTTTGCTCTTACTCTTCTTCTTCTTGCCACCTTCAGCGCTTGATTTCTTCCCCATGTCCGTAAATAAATTCGTTCGATGGTATTCCTGAATTCAATTGAATTCCACGAATCGAACAAAAAACTGGTCTCAACCTGCAACCACCGATCCCTTGCTTAGCTACAGGCGGAAGCGCAAGAATTAGGGTTTATCTATGGTTTAAGACACGGATGCATAACAGATTAATGGGCCGGGTTCAATTCACACTGTCTACGTTATTTCAAGGCATATAATAAAATAATTCAGTTAAAAATCATAACATACATAATTAAAATAATATATTTATAATTAAAATTATATATTAATCTTTTTTTATTTAAATTTATATTTATTTTTTTATAATTATTATTAAAAAAAATTAAAAGTAATAAGTACTCATTTATATTAAAAATTATATCTAAATATTTGAATACAAATTTTTATGACTAAAATAAATTTATATTGTATATTTATATTTTTTGTTTCATAATTTTTATTTATATAATTTTATTGAACTTAAATTATATTAGTATTATTCAATATATTAGTATTTTTTATAAATGATTGTATTTTACCTAATTATTTAGATCAATTCTTAATTGAAAAGAATGTAAAGTGTGTTTTTTTTAATAAAAATTTTATATATTTTTATAAAAATATTAATTTATCATATGTATTTATTACTTTTATATTTTCTAAATAATTTTACATAATTGGCATAAAAAAAAAAAAAATTTATTCAAATTATCTTACAAAACAAACACAAATGCAAGCAGACCCGTAGTAAGTACTTCTTCTTTTCTATTTCACTTGGTCTTCACTCTATACCCAATTGATTTACTCTCTACCCAGAATCGTTGGATTCACTTTCTATCTCAAAATCGTTAGTTAATTTTTCTGCGAAATCGAAGGTAGTGATATGAAGGGAAAGAAACCGACAATCGCAAAATCGACACCGCCATGCAATCAACCAGTGTCCGCTGGTCTCAAACACTCAATTCTATCCGTATCTTCCACCAGCGCATCAGTTGCCCTCCATCTCCACCGCAGAGCAACATCGGAGTTTTCTGTTATGAGTAGCTTACACTTAATATTGTATTTTGATTTCAATTTATAACCACTGGACTATGTTTACTTTTAAGATTTTATTCCTAATTTTATTTTTCTCAAAAATATCGAATCAAAAACTTAATTTTCATTTATTTTATTACACTAAAATATAATTTTACATTCAAAACATTATATTTAAAATTACATCAAACAACTATTTCAATTCAAAATTTTATTATTCAAAATTAAAACCTCTTAAGTTAACACACATGTTGTCTATATTTGAGATTTTAAATAAATTGAATTTGGCCTTTAAAGAAAAAATAAATAAATAAATAAAAATAAAAATAAAAATCTTTACAAATTAAGAGAGAATGATTTATGATTAAGGTGTATTTGGGAAAGAGCTTATTAAATAGCTTTTAAATGTTTCGCCAATAAAAAAAAAAAAGTTTTTTAGATTCAAAAAATTTAATTTAATAGCCAGCAATTTTAGAAAGAAAATTCACTTTAATTTTATTTATTTTTTATTTATTCTTAAAAATTAATTATTTATTTCATACATATAAATATATTTTTATAATATAACTATTTATTAAATTATATTTTTATTTTTATAAATTTAAAATAATTTTAATTATTAATTATTACATATAAATTATTTTATTTGTAAAATATATAAATTTATTAAAATTATAACAAATAAAAAATACAAATATTATTAATTTATTTATATATATTTTTATTATATAAATTTTATATTAAGAATTAATAAACAATGATTAACATATTAAAAATATACATATGAAATATTTATTATTTTATCTTTTACACAATTTCATAAAAAAAATTATTATTGTTTATTAATAAAAATATTTTTCTCAAATTTATAAAATAAAAATATATAAATATTCTCTATTGTCATTTTACGTTTAAACAATTAATGTCAAATTTAATTGAATCAACCAATCAAATCAGCTAATTGAATAAATTAGTTAAACTAACTAATTGAATCAGGTAACAATTTATCAAAACAACTAAAAGTTAAAGTATTGTAATATAAAAAAATAATATTTTGTGATGAATGATTAATTTTTTTATGAGTAGATAATATATATTATATAATTCTGTATATATTTATATTTTTTTAATAAAACTTATGAATTATTCCATTGAAAAATAGAGTGTAAGACTGATTCGATTCAATTCAATGAGATAAGTAAATAATTAATGATAGTGTATGTCTTTTTTTTACTCTAATCGATTTTCTTGCAGAATTCTATTCGATGGAAGGGTTTAGGGTAGAATTATGTATATAATTATTTTTAATATAATTTTAATTATGTTAATTATCAACCTATCAAATTCAAAATCCTAGATCAGCCATTAATTTGATAACTCACTGCAGCAGTCTCTTGCCGATAATTTTCGTTGGACTACCGAGGCGAATGGAGAAGTATCCGGCTAGATAAAAAAACAGTTAGCAGGCGTGGTTGAATGTAAGAAGAAGAAGGATCGAAAATTTCTGCAGTCGGCGGCGCCTGCAGGCAAAAGCGACTTTCCGATGGCAACAGCCATTAACATAAATTTAACCTAACTGCACTTAAAATTTTTATTAATTTAGATATGGTTTGATTAATTATTTGAATTATAAATAAAATTTCGAATAAAAGATAAGATATTGAATATTAAAAGTAAAGGTTGTTACGATATTTCTTTTTATAGAAAAAACTATTTTTTTTAAAAGATTAAATAATAGATATAATATATATGAAAAATAATCTAAATTTAATTAATTTAATTTTACAATTACTTGGATTTGGGTTTGTTATAAATTTATGTTTAGGATCGCTATAAATTTGGTAGTAGAGAATTTCAGGTATATTTGTTATAAATTTATATTTAGGGTTGCTATAAATTTGGTAGTAGAGAATTTCAGGTATATTTTTTCTCTTCAATTTGTATCTTCTTTTTCTTAAATTTATTTCAATTTCTATCTTATTTCTCTTCGATTATCTTATTTCTCTCTGATCCATTTCAATTTAACAATTTGAAAGGTATTGAATCAAAATAGATGTTTTAAGAGAAAAATAGTAATTTTTTTAGTGGAAATTGGATGAATATTGTAAAAATTTTGCAGGATGGGCTGTGTTTGTTCTTGCTTTCGTATCCCGCAAGATAATGTGCCATTGAATACTTCCAACCGTCGCGATTGTTCGTGTCCAAGATGCGTTATTAGCAGGTTTTTCAACAGGGTAATCTTATTCATTTGATTTAATTTATAATCTAGTGATATAGAAAAGTAAGTAAGACATTATAGAGTACATGTTACAACTCCATATAATATATATTATGTTTTATAATTTGTTATTAATTATATAAAGTATGTTGATGTTTATAGAATATATATTAGAATTCTATATAATATATATTATGTTTTATAATTTGTTATTAAGTTTTCAAATAACATCAATGCAAAAATTCATATAGCACTAATAAGTTTAATATGCAGGAGAGATCTTCTTCCTATCCGGAAGAAGCAAGATGGTTCTCGTCCGAAGTCGAAGAAGTAAGATATTTATAGAGTATATGTTACAACTCTATTTAATGTATATTATGTTTTATAATGTGTTATTATTTCTATAAAGTATGTCGATGTTTATAGAGTATATATTAAAATTCTATATAATATGTATTATGTTTTATAATTTGTTATTAAGTTTTCAAATAACGTCAATGCAAAAGTTCATAAGGCACTAATAAGCCTAAAAAATATACATATTTTAAATAATATCGATAGTAAAAACGTGGACATATATGTAGGGGAGATCTTTGCCCTATCCGGAAGAAGCAAGATGGTTCTCGTCCGAAGATGAGGAAGAAAGACAAAGATATAGGCAAAGACAAAGACATGCCGAGTTAGTTCATCAGTCGATATTGATTTCTTTTCATCGATTTGGTTCAAAAGATAACAATTCCGACGAAGATCATTCATCTGACGATAAAGATAGTTGTCCGATCTGCTTTGAAGGTATAAATTAAAGTATGCATGCATTGCTCGGATATTTAAATATGAAATTCAATTCATATAATAATATTTTGTGTTCGAATTTTGGTAATTTGAAATTATTGTTATGTTTGAAATTAAGGGTACAGCGAAGAAAATCCTAAGATAATAGCAAAATGTTCGCACCATTACCACCTGAGTTGCATTCTTGCATGGCAGGAGAGGAGCGATAAATGCCCCATCTGTAAAAGGGTAAAAAAAATAAATAAATAATCATTCTTTTAGGATTTTTATTATTCATTTTTTATTGATTTGGATTGTAGCTGATGGAAATTGAAGATTTATCTTGAACTCACTGCAAGAAGAAGAATTTGGACGATCAGACGTGCAATTGGTACCCTAAAGATTGGATTTTTATTGTTATTTGTTATTTTTAAATTTTTAAAATTTTGGCAACGTGGTTACTGATTCTCGAGATTTTTGTGGTTTTTTATAAATTCAATTTAGTTTTTTTTTATTATTATTATTTATAAGGGGGGAACCCACGGCCGGGTAAACTCCCTGCAAACTAGGCTTGATAGGCAAGTCACACTAAGCAAATTACGTGTGATGTGAACCCATTATCCACATCCAACCCCAACACCGTCGGGTTATCCCGGGATTTGTGATTTTATTGGGTTTTGTTTATTTGTATTTTTTCATAGAAGCTATTTTTTAGATTAAGTATAGAAAATTATATTAAAAATATAAAAAATAATATTTTATGTTAACTTTATAAGTAAATAATATATATTACAAAAAAAATAATATAAAGACAACGTCAAATTTTAGCATAGATTCAATTGTTCTCTCTCAAAATTAGATAAATCCAACTCACATATAAACCCACGTTCAAAGCCAACTCAAGATTGGGTTAAAAGATTATGTAACAAATTCTAACAAGTTAATTAATTAGTTAAGCTTAGGTATGATTTTGGTTTGAATTTGGGTTGACGGCAAGGTTGAACTAAAGAGTGTGTCATCATTATTATTAAAAAAAATTTGTTGGATTATATATTGAATTATTAATTTTCGTGAATAAGTATAATATATATTGTAAGAATGTATATATATATATATATTAATTATAATTTTTATAAATTATATATAATTTTTGCAAGCATATTAAGAAATATTAGTAATTTTAATAATAGTGCAAAGATCAAATTATCTGTACTTTTAAATATAAATGTATAATAAAATGATGATAAAATGATGAATAAATATAAAGAAGTATTAGCAGTAAGTGATAATGTAACCTTCAAATTAAACATAGATAAAAATAAAAAATATGTAAACATTAAAATTGGAAAATATATATATATATATATTTATTTATTTACTTATTTATTATAAGATGGACGCATCCAAACTCTTCATCTCATGTAACCTAAGTGGTTGAACACGTCTTGGCGCTTGAGGTTAGGAGTTGTAGTTTTTAAGGTCCATGACAGATTATTTCTTATTAAATTATAGTATTTGTTTTTATAATTGTATATAAAAATTCAATAGATATAATTGTATATATTAAATTATATCTTTATGTATAGTAAAACTCGAATAATAGAAATCAAATAAATGTATGTGTCCGATAGTCTGGTGGTGTGGAGGTTGGATTTGTGACTATGACGCAAGTGGACGGGGGAATAATATTTTAGGGGATAGGTAAAAAATAAATTATGAGCATTATGAGAATTTTATTAAATAAAATAATAATAATAATAATAATAATAAAAGTGATTGAGGTTAATAAAAAAATAGTGACAAATTAGTTATTATTTGTGTAATATTTCGGAGCTGGGTAGGGGATAGGCCATTCAAAAATAAATAATAATTAAATGGATCGAATAAACTGTTCATATCGTCATATTGACCTGTGAGATGTCATAATATGTTAAATTAAGAATAATAAAATTATGGTGAATAAAATTGTTTATTATAAACAAACATTCATAAATTTAAAGGACAAGAAAAAAAATATATAATAATATAATTTTAACTGATGGAGTAAACATAAATATTTAATAAATAAAAAAATATTTTAATAATATTTTCATAATTTTCAGTTCTAATTGAAATTATAATTTTTTTTGAAATTTTTTTAAAAAAATAAAAAAATAATTATTTTAACAATACTTTTATAATTTCTAATAATTAAGAATAAAAATACAATTTTCTAAATACTAAAAATCACAACTTTTTTTTTAATTCTTATTATAACTATAAAAAAATATATATTATAATGTTATACAAACAAATTTAAAAATTAGGATGTGTTTGTTGGTTTTAGATTTAATTTTACTATTCTATTTATTTTTTTAAAATATCAAATAACATAATTAAATGTTTATTTATTATACTCTTTATGTTTATAAATAATTTGTTTATATTTTCTATTTTGATCCATCCAAATAAATTGTTAGTATTTTTATTTTTTAAAAAATAATTATATACTTTAATCATATTTTATTTTTATAATTTATAATTTTTATTAATTAAATTAATCAATTATCTTAATTTTTAATATATATATAGTTATTTGTAATGTAAAATAATTATTTTTACAACTCCCTTTGTCGTCCAATTATGTGTTCATTTGACCGGGCACGGGTTTTAGGAAAAATATGTAAAAATAGAAATTTTTATTTTTATTTTTGGTAAAGAAAAGTGATATTTTTTTACTAAAAAATGAAACGTGAATAAATTTGGATGACAACCAAAAAAAAAATGATAATAAATTTGAATGACGGAGAGAGTAATATATTTGTAGAGTGTGTTCATTTTCCAAAAACAATTACACATTTTTCTAAAAAAATTAATATATCACATATATTCACAATTTCTATATTACTTACATAATTCCCCATATTTCATATAAAATATTATATTTTCAAACAATCTAACAAAACAAGCACACTTTTAATTATTTACTAATTATATTTTTTATCTAAATTAATTATTTAATTACTATACTTTTGTCTAAATTATTGTTAAGTGGAATAGACGGAATATTATACTAAAATACCCCTATTAGTATTATGTTATATAAAAGTAATGACATTTGTGTAATATAGTATAAATTAGAAGGGTATTTATTATGTTATGTAGGTAGTACAGTTATTAAATTAAGAAATAGTAACCTTATTTTGGCACGGACGAAAATAAAAAATAACAATGTTGAAATAAGTACTAATATTTTGTTTTTACAATACAAAATATCAAATTTTTATATTTATATCACATCAAATAAATATTTTAATTTAAAAATTTATCTATTAAAATTTAAATTCAAATTCAAAATCCTATGATGTGACGAGTTGGCCCAAAAATGTAAATATATTTCTTATATATTTTTTATTATTTATTTTTTGATATTTACTAAATAATAAAATCCAAGACTTCCTCCATCAATCAACATAATAGATGAAACGAAACAAAGAAATGCACCAACTCTACTGTGGAATGCAAAATCAAACACACAAAATCCACCAACCGTAATAATCTGGTGTATTATTTTGGGCTTTGATTAAGTTTGATTTTTTTATAATAAAATTTTTAATTAAAATAATTATTTGATACTTATATAAATAAATATTAATACTACATGTCCACCGCCAATCTATCCATTTGTATTTCACTTTATTATTTTTAATATTAAAAATATTCTTATTCATTACATTAGCATTATAAGATATCAATAAAAGTATTTTTGTCATTTTTCGTTGATTTGTACTATGTTTTGATATAATAATTAATATTCAATTGTTAATATGCAAAAAATAAATGAATAGATTGACGATGAACTTAGATAATATAGCATTTTACATAAATAGTAAAACTTAATATAATATTAAATAAAATTAATAGTATTTAAAAAATTATATATTTAAAAGAAAATTTTATATGAATAATAAATTTATTTTATTTTTTAAATCCTCCAAACAAACACATATTTGAATTCCAAAAGCAGCTAAATGTACGAAAAATTTTCATTTCAATGCCCATCGGATCCTCTATTCCAAAATCAGATTGTGTCCCGTTATGCCTACAAACAATGTGTAATATTTACATGTGTGTATGTACAGTGGCGGAACCAGCTCTGCGGCTTCGTGAGTAAAATTGTTATGTTTATTTGTTTTATTTTTTTACTGTTTATTTTTAGTTTCAATCTATTTCGAATCTATTTTTTATTTAAAATAAACATTCAACTGTTTCTGTGTGTATAAAAAATAATATAAAAAATTTCTCGTCGACTCATTTCTACCAACTTGATGTCATATTAACTTTTTCAATTTTTATTAACACTATAATATAGTTGTGAAGTAGAAAAAAATGAACCGAAACAATATTTAAGATAAAATATTTTATTTTTTATATAATAAATTTATAAATAAAAATATTATATATTATTCTAAATTAAAATAATAACAATATGGAGGTTTATGTAGAATATTAATCTCAAATTTGGAGGAAAAATTTGATTATTAAATAAAAAATTTAAAAAATTACATTTAAAAAAAAATTGAGAAGAGCTTGGAAGGTCAATTGACCCTAAGCCCCAATGTAGATCAGTCGCTGTGCATGTATAAAGCCTGATTTATACATATACACCGATTTATACATACACATATGTGTATATACACGTTGTGTGTAGGCACATCAGGACACGACCCAATTAAGAGACCGAGGATTCCGCCTAGCTTCAATATTATGGATCATGTGCTGACCGCTCCGGATTTTTATAGGGTTGAAAGTGAAAATAAATTATTTAAAAATTCTTATTAATATTTAACAATATATACTTTCTTCATCTCTTGATTAGATATAGAAATATTTTTTGCACATAATTTTATGTATATTAGTATGAATAAGAAAGAAAATTAAAAAGATTAAAATGCTTTCCAAACATACATTTTAAATCACAAAGTGATGATAACAATTTAGACTCTACGAGAGGATTGCAAATATAGATGGTTCTGATATCCACTTCATTTTCTTATAGCTCTCAAATAGCCTTAATACAAACATAAACAACTTAGGCTGGTTTCGGACAATACAATTATTAGAGGTTTCAACAACAACAAGTAATGTGGATAAATTGTTGGCTGCTGTTACAAAACCCTTTGAGAAACTGACCGATACAACATTGGATAATATTTTCTTAAGCTTATAGGCATGTCTTAGGGAAATTATGGTATGCAATGATGAAAATAATTACAAACTTCCTCACATTGGTAAAGCGACTATGAAAAGAACTAATAACTTGCCTACAAACTTGGAGATTGATTGAGAGTTGATCAAATCAAGTATTGACACCCTTTAATCGAAACATATGAGGCTTGAGGTTTGGAATATCTTATTATGTACATTTGAAGAAATGATCTGAATGAACAAAAAGATGTTTATTTTTGTAATACCTTCGGAATTGGGCCGTTGCTTGGCCAACTCATTTGTGTGGATAGGCCGGTATTAAGCCATCCGAAGTGAATAGATGTTAAATAGATTGAATAGACTACTCATGTCAACAATGTGCGCATTCTTTTTTGGGAGCCCTACTGAAAGAATTCTAAAGCTAAGCGTGTTTTCTCTAGAGTAATTTGAGGATAGGTGACGCACTGGGAAGTCTCTTAGGGTGCGGATGATGAGAACAGAAGCACGCTGGAAAGACTCGTGTTGATTTGTGGGGAGTGTATACACGCCTGACTATGTTGTTGTAAAACAACGTCTATGTAGTTGCAATACAAACTTATCAACATTTGCAATGCCAGACATGAACAGAAAGGCAAATACTCTCACACTACAAAGATCACTGAGTTATAGAATTTAAAAAATTTCTATTTCAAGGTAAATAAAACATAATAGTTATAAAATATACACCAGTCATCCAATTCGAGATCCCGTGTTGAAGGACTTTCAATCACTAATCGTTCCGATTAGTGATGGTGCCTATAAAAACAATAATGGAAGCTCAACATTACTTAATTAACGAATTTAAAAATTGAAATAGAAAAAGTTACATCCATAACGGATTGTCGGTACATCGACGATGAGAGAGTAATATATTCTAAGCAACGTTAACACAATTTTACAAGCGAAAGAGTAGCTCGACAAAACTATTTCATTCCACCATGGGTAGTGAGACAGAATGACGAACTAGAGATTGGTGAGTATGAACAACCATGTAATGGAGCCTGTTCTCTTGGTCCTGCACCGACTCCGAATCTGGAGCGAAACCAAAGAGAAAGATGGAAACACCGGCCCACAGTGAAAATCCAATTATCTCCTCAATTGGTTTCTCTGTGTCGAGCTTTAAATCAAAGAAAATATCCGATTCGCTAAACAAAAAGGTGACACTAAGATTCAAGGGAGATATAACCCTCACAGAGAGGAAACAACCTTCTGTCAGCGCTGGAGACCGAGAGATATAACCCTCTCTTGGAAATATCATTTATTAAAGTGATTTGATTTTCAATAAAACATATATATAATTTATTTTCACAAATATCTCATACACAATACTATCATTTGAATAAAGATTTAAATCAATATTTAATTTTAAACCACAGACCAAACAAATTTTATATTTCCAGCTCATCTGCTTTTTTTATTATTTGTTTGAAATTTCAATTTTAAATAATAAAATTTTAAATTTAAATATATATTTATTATAGTAATATAAATAAATAATGATGTACTCTATTTGTCCAGTATTTATTTATTTATTTTCACGAAGTTTTAAAAATATTAGTATTATATTAAGATATAGTAAAAATAAAAGTAAAACGACTAAACTAACTTTACTAGTATTGTATGATATAAAAGTATGACATTTGTATAATATATTTTAAATTATAATGATATTTTTAATGTTAAGTAGATAGTACAATTATTAAAAAGAAAATATATAATTTGGTATGGAACATACCAAAATAAAATAAAAAACTTAAATTTTTAAGGGACGAAGAGAATAATATTTTATATATACAATGAATTTTGAATATTATCTATAATAAAATAATTATTTAATATAATATTATCAGAAATAAAAAAAATTAATTAAATATTATTTCATCTTTCCACCATATTTATATTTTTTTGTTTATAAAAAATAACTCTTACCCAACTGTTTAATTTATAGTCTTCGATATAAAATGTCATTACATTCATTTTATCAAAATTTTTCTCAAAATTCACTCAATTACTTGTTTGAAAATACTCATATTTTATATCATAATTAATCAATATAATAATATATTTATTAAGAGTTATATTCAATTCCAATGAACATATATAGTTTGTTTATTTATTATTTTGATTTGAAATTTTTTTTTGAATTTTTTATATATGGTTTAAAAAATTGTATATGAAATATAAAAATAATACTCCATTCGTTCCAAAAGAAGAATTAAGGAATACTAGTATTTAATTGAAAGTGGGTATAAAGTAGAATGTAAATGACTAAAATGCCTTTATTTTTTAAAGGATTTTAAAGAGTATGTTAAAGTAATAATTAGGGATAATATGAAAAAGTAGGAATAATTTTGTTATAAAGTGGGGACCACGACTGCTAAATAAGGAAACAAATTACTACCAGAAAATTAGGCTATAGTTGCGGTAAAAAAAGTACCGGTTTTAATACAAATTGGTGACTTTTTACCAAAAAAGTCACGGAAAAATATACGGAACCATTTCCGTGGAATTTTGCTGGTGACTTTTTTTAAGTAGTGACATTTTTGTGACAATAAGTTATAGAATAATACCATGACATGTCCGAGACTTTGTATAGTAACAGAAGCTGCAACAAAATTTCGTGAATATTTTATAATTGTGACATTTTCGTGACAATAAGTTACAAAATAATACCATTACACCTCTGTGACTTTATATTAGCGAAAGTTGTAACAATTCCGTGATTTTATATTTTTGAAAAAAAAGTATAATTATATTATAATATTTTTTGTTTGTTATTATATTTTAACTATATAAATATTATTGATTATAAATTTATCTTTTAAAAATATATACATATTTATTTAATATATCATAATGAATTTTTAACAAAAAACTGAATAGGTACGAACGATATTGAATAAAGATATTGAAGATGATTTTATTATTTTGTTATTACTTTGAATAGCTACAAACAATAATAAGAAAAATTTATACTTGTTTTCGTTACTTATGTTGTGACATTTGATTTTAAAAAGTTATGAAAATTATATTATGACAATATCTGTAATAATTTAAAATGTTGGAAATATTTTGGTTATTTTTTCCGCAACTTAAAATAGTCAAGAAAAAATTTCGTGACAATTTTTGTGACGAAATAGTCAAAAGACACAGAATATAAATATCTTGAACATTTTCGTTACATAAGACATTACTTTAAATAGTTAGGAAAAATTATTTGTAGCTTTTTCTGCAAATATTACTTACGGAATAGTCAAAGCAAAAAGTTGTGACATAAATTTGTCACGAAATTACTTTCCGTGACTTTTAATTGTCACGGATTAAAATTTGCGACATATTTCCGCAATTATCAACATTTTTTTGAGTAGTAAAATAATTGTTTTGAGAAAAACAAAAATGAAAAAACAAAACAAATCTTTTGAAATGGAAAGAATATTTTATTTTAAATATTTATTTGTTATAAGATGATAATACATGACGTATAATTATATATATTGAGAATTAAAAAAATATTATTGAAAAAAAAACTCATAATTTTGTGAATTGACAAAAAAAAAATATACACTCCTTCCCACATATTTTGTGGGTTTTTTTTTTTTTTTAAATTGATTATACACTTTAATTATATTTTAAAATATAAAATTTAAATTTTTTTAATTTTAATTATATTATTTAATTATTTTAATTTTAATTTATAATTATTTTTATTAATATATTTTTTAATTACTTATTAATTATATTTTATCTAAATTTTGGACGGAAAGAATATATTTTTTTTTTGAAAAACAGACACATAGATAGCTTTATATAGTGATTTAAGAAAGGAGTTTGAGAAGTCTTGCAAACACACTACACTACTTCACTGCTCATCTTTTTTTATTTCACAAGTGGGAATATATTTACTTAAGTTGAAATGATGGGGAGTCTGGCAGACCCACCCACTCACCTCTCTTCCCTGTTTCTGGTTCAAACTCAGCTCATTCAAAATTAAGAAAAAATAGAAATCTATGTATCAACTTTACTGTACGTACGCTTCGTTCATTACCACCCACCAGTCCCTTTCCCCCCATCTCTTCACTCACTGTTCACCAGGTAAGCATTCATTATTCATTTTTCATAGATATCTCATATCCCCCTCTCCCTCACCTCTCATCTTCTTCCTTGTCTGCTTTGCTTTTGTTTAATTTGTTTTTAACATGAAGAAATCTTTTGCCTTAATTTTCTAGTTTGTACCTTGTTATGTTTCTTGATTGTTCTCCTCCTCTAGTGGGATTTATCATAATTAGTTTTTACAACTTTAGCTTGTTCTCCAAGTTTGTTTGTTTGTGGGTTCTTTGCTAATTTCTTCATTCTTGGGGGTTGAGCTAGCACCAACTAGCTACCTCTCTATCTCTCTCTCTCTGGATATTATTCTTTACTGCTTCTTGATCTTGTAAGTTCTGGGAATATATATATATATATATATACATATGTGTGCATATAGGTTTGTGTAATCTTTTAATTTGTTGCCTTATTGTGTATTTTTGTGCTTCTAACGTACTGTTGATTCAATTCCTTCTTATTTACAGGTTGGGTTTCTTGAATTCCTTACTTTAGGGTTAATGGTATTGTTATACAGTTGGGTGTTGAATTTTGGAGCAAATTAGCATATAGATTGTGTGTTCTTGATTTCATTTCTTCAAAAATATTTTTAGATTCGTGGGTTAGGATCAAATGAAATTCAATTGAGGTTTTAAAAAGGGGAAAATGGAGTCTATTGAGGGTAAGGAAATGGTGTTTTTTCCAGATGAAGCAACAGATTTCCAATTTGATTCAACCATCGCATTGAATCCATTAATGAAATTCACGAGCTCAATTAACGATGACAAGTTATCAGCTCCAATGGAAATTCGATCAAGATCCCCTCGGACAGCTACGAATCTGCAGATTCCGACCTGCCAAGTCCATGGATGTAGCAAGGATTTGAGTTCATCCAAGGATTACTACAGAAGGCACAAAGTCTGCGATGTTCACTCCAAGACCGCCGTCGTCGTCGTCAATTCAATCCACCAGAGGTTCTGTCAGCAATGCAGCCGGTAATTAAACAACCCTCGTACCTAATTGTGTTCATTTCCTCATTAGAATCTGCAAATTGGATTGAGTTTTCTTGTTCATTAACCATCTCGTAGGTTCCACGTCCTGTCGGACTTCGATGACGGTAAGCGCAGCTGCCGTAGACGCCTCGCCGGCCACAATCAGCGCCGCCGTAAGCCCCAATTCAATCCTTACTTAGGTATTAACCAATTCGCCGCTATGAGTACAGACATTTATTGTAATAACAGGGCAGATCGAAATTGGTTCGATTGATCGAGATCTTTACGTTTATCGACTGCATTGCAGGCTCGACGTACTTTGCGATGAATGAGGCAAAGGCCTCGTTACTTTTATCGGGGCTTCTGCCCGGCGATATCTTCGGTCTTAAATGCGACAACCGGCCGGAAAAGCGTCTGAAATTGGAAGATGAACAGAGTCTGACATCTCAATTTTCCGGGCCGGCTCCGGCGACAGATTATTGTCCGAATTCAAAATTATCTTCCTGGAATCAGACGACATTATCGGTTTCGGATTCCAGCCGTGCTCTCTCTCTTCTGTCACCGCAATCATCGGATGCTCCGATCGTAAGCATGCCGTGGAGCGTCGATGGCGGCGGCGGGACGGTGGATTTGCTGGAGCTGTCGTTGAATCTGCAAAGAGTGGAACAGCAGAAATACGTAGGGAGACGATGAGGGTAGCTAAGCTGCTCTTTTTTATTTACAAGCTTGAATTTGTGGGTCATATTATTATTAATTGTTTGTTAGAGCATGAAATTGAATATTCCAATTTACATGGACTTGTTTATAATTTAAAGGTGAATGTATGTAAGTATGTTTGTGATAAATTGAATTGAATATATACGGAGGGAGGCTGGCGTGCTTAAGCGTGGGGTAATGTTAATATTTAGATATAATTAAGAGAGACAGAGACATGATATGATCTTTTAAGGAATCTTGTTAGGTCAGAGGTAGCGTAGCTTTAATTAGTGTGATGAGAATCTTTTGCATTAATTATTTTAAGGTATGTGGAGTGGAGGAGGAGGAGGAGGACGAGGTGGCTTTGACCCGCATTCGATTGGTTAAGAGCATATTATACGAAGATCTTTTGTGCAAAAAGCCTTCACTCGCGACATGACTATGACGTGTCTATCCTTATTTTTTAATCAAGCAGTTACTCCCTCGGTCTTACGTAAAATTTTTATTTTTTATTTTTTTTATTTTTGTTTTTAAATATGATTATATATTTTTACATTTTATAATTTATAATTTTTTAAATCTTAATTAAATTATTTACTTATTTTAATTTTGATATATAATTATTTTTATTATATAATAATTATTTTTATTAATTTATTTTTTAATTACTTACTAATTATACTTCATATAAATTCTTGTAAAGGGAGCATAAAATAAAAATATGTTTAATAAAATATAAATTAACTTTGTAATATCCTACTACTTCTCCTATTTCTGGTACCTTAAATAAATATAAGGTGGTTTTTTTTTTTAATTAAGAGAAAAATACAAAAATGATCTTACTAGTATTATACTTCCTTCTTCCAAACACTTTTTTTTTTTTTTTCTCAAATCCATTGCAATATTTCTAAATTTAGAAATAATTAATAATATTTATATACATCTATTAATATACACTTCACTTTATCCCATCACATCACTCAAATGAAAAAACAAATAATCATTTATCTATTCAATCATATCACTTAATATCCAAATTATCCCAAATTACCGTACTTAATACTTCCCACCTAAATTCACGTGCCAAATGCAAATGTTGGACGATGTTTGGGACGGAGGGAATATTATATAAAATAGGTGGGATTACATGTTGATAACTAAAATTCAGTATTATATTGATTGAATATTAGTCATTGGATAATAATTTTTTATTTGGCTTGTATTAATTTAGAGGTTTAAAAAAATTATTCTAATTTATATAACACTTTAGGCCCCCATCCTCCATCCTCCTTTGCTTTGGCAGTCGTAGAAAAACAACCCAGAATCTTCCGACAGAAATCATGGATGACATCGATGAAGACGAGCAAAATCAATTTTTCATTATTCCAACTTCAATCATTCCATCAAAAGGAATAGAGATATCGAAAAAATTGCAGTTTCAGATACTTCAATGCCTTCGCCAATACCGAATGTAGTGGAAATTGCTTAATCACATAAGTTATATATGAGCAATTGATTTGAAATCGTCAATGCCTTATGCGATTTATTAGATTGCATTTACTGGATTCAATTTATTATACTCCTTCTATCCCATAACAAAGTATTCATTTTTTCATTTTAGTTCGTCCCATAACAAAGTATCTATTTCCTTTTTTAGTAACTGTACTATTTACTTAACATTACAAATACTTTTACAACTTACAATATATTACACAAATGTCATTACCTTTATATCACACATACTAACAAGGTTATTTTAGTCATTTCTATTTTATTTATACTATATCCCAATATAATAATAATATACCTAAAACTACGCGTAAAAAGTAATTGGATACTTATTAATGAGACGGAGGGAGTATTGAATTATTGCATTTTTAATCAAAATTTGATAATAATTTAAGAAATTGTGTTAATCTAATTGTTTTTATAGTTTTCCAAGATTTAGATATTAACGAAACTATTATAATTTTATCTAGTGTATTGGTAGATATGTATTAACAATCATATTTTAAGTAAAACATCGAAATTACTATTAATTAAAATAAGTTACCATCACATTCAGTTGACTTCAATATTTACCTATGCATGAAGAAGTATCTTATATTATGTTATATAACACGACATTTGATAAGCTTAAATACAAAACTCGGTATTTTTCAATTTATATGAAAATATTTTATAATAAACACACAACATATTGTTTGACATATTTCATTATCTATAAATTGATGCAATGAAATTTACAAAATCGGAAGATGTATACAATTTCTATAGTGAGTATGAACACAACATGAGCTTTTCAGTTAGAATTAAAATATAGAAAAAATTCAAGAATTATCCGTATAAGATAAAATACATGAAATATTATTGCAACAAAGCGGGGTTAAAAGAAGAAAACAATACGAAACTAGATCATCCCGATATTCATCCAAAAGAATGCAACAAGTTAGAAAAGATCAAGACAATGCATCATAATCATAAGACGAGAACAAACTGCAATTAAATTATACGGCTTCAACTCGACAAGAAAATTACAAGATACAAAGTGACATACTTTGAAGACAACCACAATCATGATCTACAACCTAACAAATACAAGCACATGCTTGTATTCAACCATAACATTGATGAATCACACTTAATTATTCGAAATACAAATTAAAAAGACAAAATATTGATTAGATCATCATCTGATTTGATGAAAATAGCCGCGGAGGAAAGAAAAAAAAGTGGGATTTTTTAAGTTGGATTTGAAAAATCAAAGAAAGAAATTTTTAAAGAGAGCAAAATAAATATATTACTGCAATACTTCAATCAAAGATCAGTGGATAATTTTTTTTTTTATTTTATGAAACTGAAATGGATTCTGAAGATAAGATTGCTAATATATTCTGGTTAGATGCTCAAATAAGGAAAGACTACTCATTGTTTGAAAATTCTATTACGTTTGATACGACATACCAAACAAACAAGAACTACATACCAATAGGTAAATTTACAGAATTTTTCTCTGTATGTAGTCAATATTTCATCTTTCATTATTCAACATTTCATCTTCTATAAATCAATAACTTTGAGAGAAAAAAATTATAAAAGGACGATAACAAATAAATAGCATAATGCAAATAAGAAGATTGATTTTTTGTCAGTTCATTCATGATTTAATTGTAAAATATTATGAACAAAGTATTATAAACATTTACTGAACCAAACATTTTATTGAATACCAACAAGTATCTCTCTATACTATATTTAGCATGTTACCAACAAATATCTTTCTGTATTGTATTTAGCATGTTACTGTACTATCAAACATTACGAGTTTTATATAAAAATTGCCACAAAAAAGACACTCTAAACGTGTTTTCCACCAAAATTTATTGAAACAAACATAAAATGATGAATAAACATTGACACATACTAAACCAAAATATATTATTGAATACCAATAAACATCTTCTTGTACTGTGTTTAGCATGTTGCGGTACTATGAAACATTATGAATGTTTTTGAGAAATTACTGAAATTACTATCAAAGGGATACTTAACAATTATTGCCAATATTTTATTATTATTAAACATATATCACTACTTTTTTAAGATCAATATAAAAAAATGTGTCGTAATTGATTTGAAATGGAAGTGGTATATTTTACAACACATTTTCCTTTTGGTCCTAAACATGATCGATATATATATATCCATCCAATAGTTGGGAGAGAAGCGAAGAGAAGAGAAAATGTTCCTTAAATTGGTGGGAGGGAATCAAATAGGTAAAAGAAGACAATGAAAAGTTGTGAACTAAAAGTAATTGAAGATTAAGGTGGTGAGATATTTAAGACATTTAGTTTTAGATTTAGTAAATTTAGATTTAAATTTGGTCTTATTCGTAGATTAAATTACTTAGATTTGAGTTTATCGAGTATATTTTGTATTGCCTAAATGTAGGCCCCTTATTTTGATGATCAATAGACAATCTCATTATTTTTTCCCAAAATTTCTAACATGGTATCAGAGCCTATTTATCTTATGCCGTAGATATAGCCTATCAATCCGTATTTCTCCGGGTACATTCAACCTAGATTGTACCCGGAGGTCTTGTGATTTTGAGATCATGCATTTGCAAGTATGTCTTTTTGTGAATCTGTCTCGTTTGCGATCTGTCATCTGTCCACTGCCTATCTGTTTCTGCATGCAATCTGAAATCTGTCTGCGATCTGTCATCTATCCTGTCTGTGGCCTGCGTGCGATCTGAAAGTTTTCAGATCCGGTGGAGTGTTTCATGTCGTTTTAGGCTCCGGTGGAGTCATGTTATTGTTGGCTCCGGTGGAGTCATCTCGTTTTCGACTCCGGTGGAGTCATATCGTTTTCGGCTCCGGTGGAGTCATCTCGTTTTCGACTCCAGTGGAGTTATATCTTTTTTTGCTCCGGTGGAGTCATCTCGTTTTCGGCCATTTCGTTTTCGCCTCTGGTGGAGTTATGTGGTTTTCTGCTCCGGTGAAGTCATGTCGTTTTCGGCTCCGGTGGAGTCATATCGTTTTCGGCTCCGATGGAGTGATTTCGTTTTCGCCTTCGGTGGAGCGTCATCTCGTTTTCAACTCCGGTGGAGAGTCATCTCGTTTTTTGCTCCGGTGGGTGGAGAGTCAACTGCTAATTTTATTAATGTTTTCTTTTTGTGTTTATATTCAAATTTCTTATCAAACTCAAGTTGGTTTCTATTATACCACTTGAGTTTGAGGGGATGTTGAGATATTTTAGATATTCAGTTTTAGATTTAGTAGATTTAGATTTAGATTTGGTCTTATCCGTAAATTAGATTACTTAAATTTGAGTCTATCGAGTCTGTTTTGTATTGCCTATATATAGGTCCCTTATTTTGATGATCAATAAGACAATCTCATTATTTTTCCTCAAATTTCTAATATAAGACACTTACAAGGAATAATAATTACGTACTACTTCCTCCGTCATTTAAATCTATGTTCATTTTTCTTTTTGAATTATCATAAAAAAATGTTATCGTTTCTTTTTTTTAAGTACAATATTATACTTTTGTACTTTTTTTTAACTATAAAAAGAAAAAGTAACAATTATTACTCACTTTTATTAAAATTCATATCCGATCAAATGAGCACACATTTGCATGACCGAGGAAGTACTGTTTAATTTGATTTGCAATAGAATTAGTTAGTTATGAAGCATTTTTTAGTAACCAGAGAGACCTCGTCAATTGCAATATTGCAAATATTATATATAGATAGTTTTAGCAGCTTCTTGTCATTTTTCCAGATTCACATTTCTAATTAATAGTTAACCTCATGAAATAATCCAACTTCGATTCATTTAGCAATTCCATAATTCATTATTTATTATTTATCATAAACTGTAAAAGATTGTTTTTACTCCATTGTTGCTGCTGCTGCTGCTACTGCTGGAGGAGGAAGCAAACCCTTGTGGAGTACTACTGCTTGGAATGTACTTAGCCCACTGCATTCATCAAATTAAAATACATAAGAGATTGATGAGAAAGAGATAAATAATTAATTAAAGAGGTGTGTGTGTGTGTGTGTTAGCTTTTCATTACATAGGAGTATTTTTTTTTTTTTTTAAAAAGGGTCTTCTTACATTTTTTGCAGCAGCACTGAAAGCCTCCCGATGAGGTATCTTGGGGTTCGCTGTCTTTATCCTCTGAATCTCCTCTCTGCATAACGTAAAAAGACATTATATTAAAAAACAATAATTATAAATAACTAATCCTATATTAATCACAACAAACTAAATTAATTATATATATATATATATATTATATGCTCCCCACTTCATGAACCGATTGTAAGCAGATGGAAGTCTGTGTTTCTTCTCCGGAGCTGCACATTTTCAAAAAAGGAAAAAGGAGGCAAAAAAAGAGTTAGATTAAAAAAACTAAATAGATACTTTTTCCATCTGAAAAAACTTACTTATATTTGGTTGGACACAAAAACTAACTGAAAAAACTTACTTATATTTGGTTGGACACAAAAACTAAGAATGTAATAATATTTTAATATTAAAATAAAATAAAAAAATAAATTAGGGGTATTATTAAAAATAAATTATTAAAGAATTTGAAAAAAACGATATGGTAAATAAAAATAATAATAATAATAGTGGCATATTTGTTACTCTCCCGTCTCTTTTTTTTTTTCACTTTCTTATTACGTCGGTCTCTTATAATTATTCAAATTTTTTTATTTAGTAACAAATCGTCCAACTTTTTATATGTTTTTTAACCATAAATATAAAAAAATAACCAAAAGTATATGTTTTTATTAAACTCATTTCTAAAAATATGAGCACATTTTTTTTAATGGGGAAGTATTATTTATTAAAGTTGGGTAATAAAATATAAGTAGATAAAATTGTTTATGAGACATAAATTTAATGAACAAATTATTTTTTTTAAAAAAAAAACGAAGTGATATAATTTTAGGGGGAATTAGAAGGAAGTATATGGTAATTATGTAAAGGGCAATCTTGAATTCGCATACTTACGTTTCACCACAAAAGGGGCTTTTGGGGACAATGGCTGATCGCCGCCGGATGTAGTAGTCGTCGTCGAAGAAGAATTTACCTTTTTAACCTCACTGCAAAAGCCCTACATTTCTTTCCAATTAATTTATTAATTTTTCCTTAAGTTTTTAATTTCCCATAAAATTAATTAATTGCAGTCACCTGATGAAGATTTGGTGGTTGATGATCCATGAAGCTTTGGTGGGCCGCCGCCGGCGCCGGCCGGGTGCTGAGGAAGGACAGGTTGCTGCAATGCCCACATTTGACCGTTACTGTCTCCAGCAACTTCTTGCATGGAATTCCCACCTGATGATATCAATATTTCATTAATTTAATCAGTAAATACATAAATTAATTAATTTAGCAGAAAATTAAAATGAAATAAAATAGATTGATGTAGTAGTTCTTGATGATGAGAAATAATTATACTGCAAGAACAGTGTTGCAGAAGTTGCAGCGAACATAGCAAAGATGTTCTGATGACTGAACCAAATCCATGGCTAGAGCTATATATATATATATATATATATATAGTGTGTGTATATGTATGGAAAAATCCAGTGGCGATACTGATAAGCAAAGGCAAACGCTACATGAGAGTATTTATAGGAACAGAAGAATTCATTGCAGGTGCAAAAAGGGTTAGGGTTAGGGTTTCTTGAACAGGCAATTTAATTAACAGCCAGCCTCAAGATTTCTAGCCGAGGAAGATAGGTTGTAATGGCTATAAGTATTCACCCACACATACACATGTGTGTATATATATATATATATCTCTATATATGTATGCATGAATTATTTATAAACCAATATGAGTGTTTCTTTACCCAAAATCTCTCAAATTTTATTTTTTGGACAGTGTATTTTTAAAAAAAAAAAGATATTTCCTCCGTCCCTAAACCCTAAATCCTAAACTAAATCTTCACAAATTTTTACCAATTTGAATGTCTATAAATTTACTTTTTGTGTGTAAATAGGATGATAACAATTTTACTCATAGAAATATTTTGTTGTAATTAAATTATATGGATGTATTAATTTTGAACGAAAATAGTAATACATATATGTATGTGTGTATATAAAAGTTGGGCGTTTTAAATTAAAGATGAGTAGTCTTTTTCTTGATACAAGTGTACACTGCATATATAATTAATTAAATTAAACCATTCCTAGGAATCTCTCGATAAAACAAATCAACTAACGGTTTGATTACGCAATTACGATATATAATAGGACAATGCAATAACAAGACATATCATAATATTAATATTTACTAGTCTCCCGTCCTTAACAATCTATCCATTTTTTCATTTTGGTCCATCTCACAGTAAAGTATCTATTTTCTTTTTTAGTAATTGTATTGTCTACCTAATATTACAAATACCCTTTCAATTTACAATATATTACACAAATGTCATTACCTTTATATCATACAATACTAATAGGGGTAATTTAATCTTTTTATTTTTATTTCTACTTTATCCCAATATAATACTAATATTTCTAAAACTCCGTATAAAAAACAAATGGATATATAGATATGGGACGAAGAGAGTATTTTATATGTGTGTGTGTGTGTGTGTGGGGTTGTTAAGTTGGTGTGAGTGACTGTATGTATGTACATATAGATATGATGATTATAACCTGCAGATGTTGAATGCACTAGCCCCCTGTCTCCCCCCTGGCCTGGCCTCATCAAACCATATACGTCAAAAACACTACAGATTATAATATAATTTAATTCTGATGAAGTTATAGTATATTTTTTAACTAAAATGATCACATTTATATGTGTAGTACTTGTTAGGAAAAAAATGTCCAAGTTTGTGTATGTGTTTCTGTGAGAAGTAGAATTGAAGTCGACAGGAGGGAAGATCATGTGTCACAATCACTCAAAAGGACAGCTGATGAAGGGTTTCTAAATTTTATTAATATTTTCAAAAATAATTAGGGTTAGGGTTTGGTATCTGAATGTAATAGTAATAATAATAATAATAATAATAATAGCGATGATGGAGTTGTCAGTTTCGATTGCCAAAGATGGAATACTAATCTCATCTTACAATTGTTTCCCACAGCATTCTTTGTCAGTGAAAACCAATTTTTCCTAGCTGGGCCTTCTTCTGCACGGCCCACCTGGACCCGGATCCGAACCCGGTTTATGTTCTGGATCTCTACACAGTCCTGTCTTGGCTGGATCTGTCTTGGTTTTGAGATATATATATATCGCTGCGACTACAGTGCTCAATTTAATATTTAGCACAACACTGCTCTAAACAGTACATCGTGTGTTATTATACAACATAGAATATTACTATAAACAACACACTGCATATGTTAATATAATACAAATATATTCACATGAATAAAAAATACATGCTATAGTGTTAACAGCACATCGTGTACTGTCTTGACAGTACACAATACTATTTGTACTGTCTGACAGTACACAATACAGACAGTACACAATATTACTATGGACTTAATATAATACAAATACAACGCATGAACTAACAACACATACAACAGTTGATTTTAGCCCATGACATATTTATATACGGCACACTTATTATTAAAATACCATATACAAAACACTTATTTATATACAACGCATGTGTTGTGTGTAATACTAATGTGTGCTATATATATATATATATAACGAGTGCATCATGCTGATTTTTTCAAATCGACAGCTTAACGATCCCCTGTATATATACTAATGTGTGTGTCTTTATATGGATTTGATGATTTATCATATCTTGTATGGCTGCCTCTGCTTCGTTTCTATTCCGGGTATGCACTATTATACACTACACCCACCACCTACCCCCTACCCTACCTCATTAACTAATTAATTTACTACCTTGTCTACCTCATAAATATATTTATGTGTATGTACGTAGTTAATTTGCATTCCAATTTGGCCTTACTGCATAATTTCCAAAATGAATAAGATAACACAGATATGGCTGGCTTCTTTCAGCCAGCAGGGTAGTAGGGGTTGTTATAATTTGGAATGGTCCCAAAAGAGAAGAGAAGAAAACTGGGCCACACTGGGAATCTCCCTGCTGACAATTAATCAAATGAAATGTGTTGAGAGAAACTAAGACAACATTCACACAGACGGATCTACACAACATGGGATCTACCAAAACATTATTCTTATTATTATTATTATCAAAATAATGAGCACAACAAACGCCTTAAGAACTGGTCAAGTTGATGTGTACTGATGACTGCTACTAAGTCACCAATTCGAGTCTTATAATCCCAACCTTGCATAAAATAAACAACAACAATAATAATAATAATAATAATAATAATACCAATAATTTAAAATAAAGTAAAGTTACATAGTGAATCAAGTCACTCCTCCTCAAAATCCAAGTTCATATCCGGAATCAGCTCATGACCAAAAAAGACGAAAAAAATGCAGTAGTGAAATAAATACTAAGGTTGTAAGGTTGCCTGAACTCAGCTCTATTTGGCGGCGGGGGCACCATTGGGGACCTTCACAGATGCATCTCCTGAAGGGTTGAGCTCATCCCAGGCCTCGATCCAAGTCACCATGGCATCCGCCAGCTTCGTGAAGTACGGATCGACTAAGGAGAGTTTCTCCTTAACTTGCTTCGAAATTTCAATGTAGCAGTCCTGAACAGTCTTGCTCTCCTTGGGGAGAACTATGGATTGGAAGAATGGGATGATTTCTTCCTGCCAGTAGATGCCTTTGTATTCCTTCTTCAGATTCACAAATGGGTTGCTCGCCTTGCTGTGCCAAATGTACGGCAGACCTGTCTTGATCCCGAGATTCAAGTGGTCGCATATAACCTGAGATTTTTCAATCCACATTATAAATCATGTAAATGTCTTAAAGGGATCATAAACAGAGTAAAAACAGAGCAACGGAGCAGATAGTTTGATACCTTGGTGCACCAGCCAGCCCACATGTCGTCGTAGCGCCCAATTGGCTGACCATCGCCCATAAGGCCAAAGTACATTGCAGGGCCAATGAGGTCACGGTTGAATGCCAAATTCATACCGCACATAGGGAAAATGGTGCCTTTGGGGATTGTCAGAACAGCATCGACATATCTGGAAAACCAAACACAACAACGTGTGAAATGAAGTTAGCAAAAGCATTGAATTTGTGGAGCAAATTTATTCTATTGTTATAGCAGATCATGCCTGGTGTTCCTCTCCCGTGGCTTGACAAGCTGGGTGGGGGCATCGTAGTCAGGGATGTTGAGCCACAGGCCATGGGAGACAGCTGTGGGAACTCCCTCGCGAAGACTGAAGGGGTAACCACGGACGAAGTCGGCGCCATCCCTGTAAGGATCATAAAGGGTATTGAAGAAATGTGGAGTGGATGGAGTCAAGAGGTTCTGTATGTGCTGCTCCAAAGCATTGATGTCTTTGCCAGATGGATCCTTGGCAACCTGACATGCCATCAATCGAAATATTGTGGAAAAATTAGCATATGCAATCAAGAAACAAAGTTACAAACTCCACTCTACATTAGACTAGCAAATCAGCTAAATTACACATTTGCTAAACAAATGAATCAAGAAATTTATCTAGTGCAGTCTGAATTAGCCCAAGGGATGGAATTTTTTTTAGATCCCGGTAGATCAGTTGGAATTGAGTAGTTAAACTAGTAATGGGACCTTAACCAATTTGGTGTAAAAAGACACAAACTTATGATTACAGAATCTGACAAAACTTGAGATTTCAAGAGAATGGACTGCCAATCAAGAAAAGGGAAGCTTCGGATTTAAGATCAGACAGTACAAAGTACAGCAAACCGACACTCAACTACAGATCTATTATTTGTGTAATAAACATTCTACTTACACATCTGGAAAATACATTTAGATGACAAAGAAGAATACCAGATTTTCAAGCAGATCAAATTGTTTCAAGCAGCAAACCACAGCACAATTAACTTCAAGATAGGTAACAATGTCGAAATCAGAAAAAGCAAACAAACAGCCACAAAATCCAGACAAATCTCACAGATCAGCACGTCCAATTCAAATCAACACAAGCTAATAAGAGTTCAAAATCCAGACAATTTTCACCAAAAAAATAAAAAGGAACTCGAAACCACAGAATACTTAAATACCGCCAAGATCCAAATTCAAATCTGTGATAAACGATCCGCAAAACATTATAACCAAGGAAAGCATAAACCGAAAAAAGTAAAAGCGAATCAAAGCAACAGCATACTCACAAAGCAATCATCATCAATAGTATAAATATACTTCTTCTTGGAGACCATATAACCGAAGCACCGACACGCAGAGTCCTTGAACGAGATGCAGGACGCCTTGGGGCCGAGAATCCTGTTAATATCATTCCGATTGTAGAGCTCGTAATCAAAACCCTCGGGCACCTTGATCGTCTTCGACGGATCCCCATCCTGAACTATGATCAAATGATACTTCTCAAAGAAGGGCCTCCACATCTCCAGGAAATCCAAATTCCTGATCGTCGGAATCACAATATCCAATTCGTCCTTCAGCACCGGTGTCACTCTCTCCCCCGCCATGGCTCCGCTCCGCCCTTCGATCGACTCTGCGCGACTGTGTGGAAAGGGTAGAATGAAGTCTGCGTGGTAAGAGGGCAGCGCTGAACGACGTCGTTTATATAGCGGAGGACTTGGAGGAAGTTGCCGACTCCTCTCAAATATTAATTATTTTATTTTATTTATTTATTTCCCGTAATTTATTGCTTGAGTCAATCCACTAATATTGCAAATAAATACATTTAGTTAAAATTGCAGAAAATATTATTAATAACAGCAATTTATGGAAAAATTGGCATTGCATCTGCATCTTGTTATTTTTTAATTCTATCGGATTTTTCCCTTTTAGATAAGATATTTATATTAAAATATCAAATAATTTTTTTTTGTTCTATCACAATTTCAATACCTAGTAATTATTTCCTATAAAAACACGACCAAATCAAATACAGTATATTTCAATAAATTAAATATATATTCGGAAAAGAAATTAAAAAAAAAAAAATGTCGAAAGTAAATACAAACAACTCGTTGAAATTTCTGTGTAGGTAAGTAGAACAAGGACAACTAGGTAAAATCAATTCACTGGGGACAGCTGTAATGGGTTGTATACTCTATTGCAATTTTGAATTTTTATTTTTATTTTTATTTTTTGAGTTAGGCAATTTAGTTGACTATTGTTTGAAAATTAATTATTTCAAGTACAATAATAGGCGTTTATATTTTGTTCGTTGAATATTAGTTTAAGCATAGAGGATGTTTGGTTTGATTTTTAAATCCAAATTACTCCTTCCCCCTCCGTCCGTCCAGTTAGAAAGTATATATATTTCTGTTAAGCACAAAAAATAATAATAATAGTAAGTGGCAGTAGGATTCTGGGTAGGGTCTGAATGAAAGCCAAAAGGTCTGGAGGTCGGGCAGAATAAAGGTCGGGAAAAGGAAGAAAGGTCGGGCGGAGTCTAAAAAAAAAAGGTGTACCCAAGTCGGGTAAACCGTAGATCGGATGGAAGGCGAAGTCGGGCAGACGCGGAGGTCTGTCAAGAGGAAGGTCGGGCAGACGCGGAGGTCTGTCAAGAGGAAGGTCGGGCAAGGAAGATGTACGGACAGACGCGGAGGTCTTCGGTCAAAGACGGAGGGCGGCTGATGCGGAGGTCGGCCCAAGTGAGGTCGGGCGAAGAAGCAGGTCGGGCGAAGGACGAAGTCGGGCAAAAGAAATTTGGCAGTGGACAGGCAGGTCGGGTAAGAGGCAGGTCTGAGTTCTGTGACTGGTGGGAACGGTTGAAGGAAGTTGTAATACGTGTCAATAGAGGAGAAATTGGTGGTCGGTTGACAGCGGTTGCTGTAACCGACCAGACGGCGGTTCAAACCGTTTTCTCTGAAAGGCTATTTAAAGGATTCAAATCCGTCAGAAAAGGCATCTTCAATCAACTTCAACAAAGCAAAGTCAGATTTGGGGATCACCACTTTAAATTTCAGTCTTTTATTTTCCAGTTTATTTTCTGTACCATACAGTGTTTAGAGATTCCTAATCTCAGGCACTAATTAATCAAGTTTAAGGATATTTTCTATATCTTTGAATTTTACTTTATTTTTGTTGAAAAATTACATCAACAATTTCTATTTTGGGATGTCCAATTAAAAAGTAAACATTTCATTAAATACCTTACTTTTTTCCACAAATACCCTTACTTACATCACACCGTTACTTTTACACCAAAAAGCAAAGGCAAAAATGTCATTACACTACTTTTAACTACCTACTATAATTAAAATATTATTATTTCTTAAACACCGTACCAAAAGTAATTGTATACTTTATGAGTGGACGAAGGGAGTATTATTTTTTCTGTCTCACCTCATTTGTCTATATTTTAAATTTCACATAATTTAATTTTTTTTCTTTTTAAAAATAATTATATATTTTAATTGTATTTTTAAATTTCATAATTTATGATTTTTAATCTTAATTGAATTAATCTATTATTTTTGTTCCTCGATAAATTATTTATTTTTTTTTTATTTTGGTTCGTTGTTAAGAAAGTATTATTTTCTATTTTTAATAATTGTATATCTACTTAACATTACAAATATCTTTTTAATTTAATAACATATTACACAAATATTATTATATTTATATAATATAATACAGGTTAGTTATTTGAATGTACATATAACTAAGTAAACTAAATGGATAAAAATGAGTGAAATTGAGCAATTGTACATATAAAACTGTAAACTCACCAAGGGTGCAACGGTGAGATCATTGCCACATAAAAAATATTAAAAAATCTCTTGGTATCTCTGCAGAGATGCTCAAAAGTGCATTCTTTCTTTTTTTATATTTACATATTTATTATATTATATATTTTATATTTATGTATTACATATAGTTTTATTTTTTATACAATGGTATATATTGATTTATTTTTTAAAGATTTTAATTTTAAAAATAAATAATTTTGATATAAATATAAATATAATTTTATTTTTTTTTGTTGAGTAGGAAGAAAGAGAGTATTAGGTGGAGGAAAGAGAATATAAAATAATATTGAAGAGATACTTTGATGGATATCTTTGTTGTAGGTGGTTTAATCAACTTAAAAAACTGTAAAAAAAATATATTACATATATAAAAAAATTCTAAAATCTAAATTTAAAAATTTTACTTTTATCTCAAATATATAATATATAGATTATACATTTATCTAAATTATCATTCTCGTATCTACGGAAAACACTGAACAACTAAGGTAAGATTAAAGAATATTATTCAATTTTTCTAATAAAAATATATTGGCTCCATTTAGGAATAGATTTTTTTGAGCTTGTTTTTAGTGTTTTGAAATTAGTAAAAAATTACGGTGTGATTACATGTGAAGTTTTTATTTTGATTCTATTGTTTCAGAAATTTTTTTTTAAAAGTATCAAATCAAATAGTTAATTTTCATTTATTATATTACATAAAAATGTAATTTTATATTCAAAATATTATATCAATACATATGTATATGACAACAAATAATTATTCACTTAAAAATTTTACTATTTAAAACCAAAATCCAAGCCAACATCCGACACTCAATGTGTCTCGTCCACCTGGCCCCCAGCATGCCCAACGTCCAGCATCCGACGTGTCCCGACCACCGTGTCGTTTGTGGCTCGATCAATGTCAGCCACAGTGACTGAGCAACAGCACACAATAGCCCTCCAATCTCGGCCACATGACAAACTATAGCCGAACAGTAACTCACGGTGGCCACTCAGTTCCGATCACAATAGCATATTATGTCTGTCACCGTTTTAGATCATATGTTTACCTATATATATAATACAATATATGTGCAAAAAAAAAAACTAACCCCTAACATATGGCTAATCATATAAATATATGCATAATAATATAAGTGTGTGTCATTAACACAATCTTAACCACTTTTTATTGCATCACAAAAATAGACATGTAATAAGTAATTCACCTTAGTGTTAACTTTGAACAATGAAAAATAATTGCATTTTACACTTGTATGTCTAATTCAGTTCGCAGTAGCAACGCATACTTATTTTTTTGGGTAAATTATATAACACTCTCTTGTGTTTTAGTAAAAATGCACAAAACACTCTATATTTTATTTATTGCGTGAAATCCCCTTGTGTTAATGTAAAAATTACACAAAACGCCCCTATTGTTCAAAACTGATGTTTGGTTCTAAATAAATACTTAAATTATGCAAGTTTTATAAAAATAAAAAATGTAAAATATCTTAAATAATTTTTTTGAATAAAATAAATAAATAAATAATTGATCAATAATTTATTTTTTACAATTTTTGTAAAAATCAGATAACAATTTGTCTTCAAAAAGTATAAAACGAAAAATTATTTATTTATTTTATTCAAAAAAACTATTTAACATATTTTACATTTATATAAAATTTGCGTAATTAGGTCTTTATTTAAAATCGAACATTAATTTTGGATAATGAGGGTGTTTCATGCAAATTTTACATTAACCCAAAGGAATTTCGCAGGGTGTTTTGTACATTTTTATTAAAACACAAGAGGATGTTATATAATTTACCCTATTTTTTTTCTTGATACATACAATATGTCAAACATTTTGCAATTAGTTCAACATCAACATTAAGCTTATTTGGTTGTATTCCCTCTTTGATGAGTTCATTCTTTATTCAAATGTGAAAAAATTTAACCATTATACCATCTATCTTTTATGATCTTTATTATACATCCTTGTAAGTTAAGAAAATTCTTATTCTCACAATTGAAATAGGTTTTGTTATAAGGATGATTATTGTACGATTTTACTTAATCTTTTAAACAGTTTTTTTTTGTAAATGAATGAGAAATTTTTTTAATTTTTTATATAACATAGTTGAACGATCCTCCCTAAATATAGATCTACACATAACACACATAAATTAATATTGGTGATAAAATTCTTATCTTGACATCTTTTCTATGGCTCGACCTCCTTTAAGGTTAAGTAAATATAATGTGATATTTTAGTTGTAAAAAGTCACTTCTGATCGTACATGTGCATTATATTTTTCATGCATTTGAATTAAACTGCATTTGCAATATTATTGTAGACAAGTTATTCCTGATTGAAATAGAACCTTAACAATTTGTTTGAAATTGCTAAATCTGATTTTATTGCACTTGTTGGGCTCATTACAATTTACTTCCAATACTGGTTTTCTTTAGATCACTACATTTAGATTGTTAGCCTATATATTGTACATCGTCTATAAAGAGAAACATTTTTAATCAAGTCTACGTTCAATATGTCATTGAAGCTTGTATGTTGTTTTTTTTTTTTTTTTGCTTCATATATAGATCAATTCAATATTTTTGTTTGAAGCTTGATAAAGGATCTACATTACTGCACGGTTTTTTTAAGCTCACAGATTAATTTAGTTACATTTGTTAATCAGTTAGATAGCAGTTACAAATACTCTCTCTATATACTTCTTGTTTTCATTTTTCAAGAACAGAAAAACATTGTCTGTGCAGTAATATTAAAAAAACTGTTAATTCTTTTTCTGCAACTTCTGTCACTGTAGGTTTCTTTATGGTATCAGAGCGTGAA